TCAACACATCTCCGTAGCGCTAACCGACAGCCTTCCAACTTGGAAGGTTCAAGGTTATGGAAAGACCAAAGAGGGGAAGGCAAGCGCAACGAAAACGAGCAAAAGCTACAGTCCCAACGGAACAAAGAATGTCGATTGTTACTGGACGATGACGAGACCAGTACGATATTTGACAAAGCGGTCTAACTACAATTCGAAGCAGCAAAGCAGCACACCACCCAACTTGGGTGGGTCATAAATATCAAAGATAAGTAAAGAAAGGGAAGCTTTGCGAAAACGAATTGTACAAGCCGAAAGCCAAACTCCTACAGTACTCCTCATGAATGACATTGTGATGGACTAGTTGACTACAAAACAAGTTGTTTCACACGACGTACGTTTCGCCGTATGGTTCGTGACGGCTCATCAGGTTAGCGCTACGGAGATGTGTTGAAGCTAGGTGTCAGGACGTCGAATGTTTCAGTACTCTGTCAGTTTTGTGCCTAGTTATTGCACTTTCTGACTGTATAAAGTATCATGTTACAGTGATGGAGAGTTACTCTTAACTCGTATCCATATGTCCTTTTCTCTTCTACATTATTATTATTATTATTATTATTATTATTATTACAAAAAATGTATTATCTACGCATGCATCTACGCAAGAGTCACCACCAGCCAATTAGGACATATGTCAAAGTAGATAATACATTTTTTGTAATATTTTCTGCCTCCGTCCTACTTTCAAATTATTATTATTATTATTATTATTATTATTAGACACAATCTCATAGCATGTGACAAGCATTGCTAATGCAGGGACAGAATCCCCTGAGACAAGGGCGTTGAGCCAGCCACGGCAAAAGTAAGCTAGGAAAACAAAGCAAATATGTGAGAAAGAACTTTGAAGAAGACGAGTTCGAGCATACAATAATGTATTGCCATGATTTCTACCCTGCTTTTCATTGAAAACACTATCTGCATGACCTCCAAACCCTTTGCCATGCAGACCACCAGCACTGATCAGGTGCAGTGTACACAATTGTATAGCTTACATACTAGAACTGTGGTAAAATCGTGTAGTTATGCTCCTACTTGTACCTCCGAGAGGATGCCAAATTATGCTCCAAATTTTCAACCATCAAATTATGGCAATAATTATGCCGGCATAATCCGCCAGTGCCTACTCCATGCGCTCTCACAGCCGACTCACTGCTACCCACGGTAGCCATTACATACACCAACAGCCATACAAGGAAGGGTTGCAGGTAGATACTGAAATTCCTCCTGAAAGCTGTTTCGCCTTCATAAGGCTCATCACAGAAGGTGATATTGAATAGGATGATATAAGGTGGAGATAGTCAGATTTACACTACAAAACATGGGCGCAAGATTACGGGCAAAGTGTGAGAATGAGAAGTTACAATTCTCCAGCAACACAGTGCCAGGGGTTCCAAGAAAATGGCAGGTGAGTAATCCAATCACAAGCTGCTAACCTCTCCAGCAACACAGTGCCAGGGGTTCCAAGAAAATGGCAGGGGAGAAATCCAATCACAAGCTGCTAAAATTAATTTTCTAACGGCTAGGTGATAGTGTAGTATTCCTGCCCGACCAATACGGAAGTAGTACGGAACTAATACGGAGCTTTGCCTGATGCATAGTTAGTGTATCTCCGTATATAAGCGTACGGCGTCTGCTGCATAAAAGCTGCTGCGCATTTCTGTTTAGATGAGATTTTGATAATAACGAGCTATTCAACCTCCAGGTGTGCACCGGAGAGAAAGTCAGTTATTTTGCCGTTTCTTCTTTCACTAATAATTATATCTTAGGTGTGTACCTGAAAGAAGTAGAATGAAAGTAATTCTTGTTGATTTCACAGCGCCTACCACTCGGCTACCCATTACATTGGTGTCAGCGGTGTAGTTTTAAATAAAACAACGTGATTCGACCCCAGACCCCCATGGCTCAACCCGCTGCAGCTCCCTGCGACGAATCAAGATGAGAATCATGTTTCTTGCCTTCCTGGGCTTGGCCCTGCTTATTAGCTTGCAGCACAGCCAGGGTGCTAGCGTGGATCACCCTTCTCTACGCATGGCATCCACTGGAGACTCCAATGGCGATTCCAAGCGACCCGCTACCTACATGTATACTACCGGTGGTGGTGGCGAAGCTGATGAGAACGACGACATGCAGGCTGCCGACCAAGACAAGAAGGGTATTCCCCAAGACCAGCAGCGTTTGATTTTCCCCGGCACGCATTTGGCAGACGGCCGAACCCAGAGTGACTACAACGTTCAGCAGGGGTCCACTATTCACTTGGTACTTCGTCTCGGTGGTGGGATGCAGATTTTCGTCAACACTCTTCCTGGCTAGACCATCACTCTTTACGTCGCGCAAAGTGATGCTATCAACAATGTGAAGACCACGATTCAAGACGAGGAGGGAGGTTACTTGTCTGACGCCGAGCTCGCCGCTCTGAGTGACCGGCTCAACGAAGATGAAGACAAAACCTGGCTCGCCCTCCGCCATAGCTCCAGCCGCCGCCGTGGTTACTAACACTGATTCCAGGTATGGCATTTTCTTTCCTGTCTTCCTTCAGTCTCCCTGTTCTCTTCAGTCTTCCTTTATGCGAGTGTGTGAATCCAGTTTAGTTTGGTAATATTTGTTATTCGTTCGTTACGGATGAGTGAAATAGAATATTCGTTGCAGCCCTATTATTATCAGACTAGGATCTGCTGCTCAAGCACAGGAGATTCCAGTACAGGCACAGTTAAGCTAGGTGATATCCGCCATGAAGTGCATACTCGAGTCATTGCCCACCCTGACTCCCTGGAAATGGTACGAGGGCTAATGAACGTGCACGCTCTCAAGAACATGGTCGTGCTCAAGACAATCAACGGATCAACCTTTTCTCCCATAGTCGGATTTCAGTCAGCGCAACTGTACGTATGCCTGTATCTCTCCTGGCGCCCTAGTATCAGGCAATTCTGGGATTGTGCTATGTTGTTACTCTTAGTTTGTCTTGTCCGACTTTTAACCTGTCTGCTTGCCTGGCTACAGTGTCATCTCAGACCACAGGTCAATCCGTTCTCACCGATAACACACCGTCAATGCACACCCTGTGTTGACTAAGTATGTAGTGAATGCATTGACGGAAGATATTCAGACCAATGCAGTGTAGGAGTGGTGCTAGTCGTCACGAGCTCCAAGAGTGAAAAATAAGGCAAACAAAAGTCACAGGCTACTGTGTCACGGGAAGTACAACAATCTCAACAGTGTCCAAAATGCACATATGACTGGACAGTGCGTGCTCAGGTTGAGCTTGGATGCAATTGCATCACAGCATAATGATGAACTGTCCTGGACAATCTTTGTTTTGGGATACGATAGGCCTGTGTACGCGTATGCATCTGCCAGATATCGGAAACTGTAACGACTCTCATGTGCCATCTTGTCGCACTGGCTGACTGTATAAGATCTGGTTACGTTGGTGGACAGTTAGTCATAAGTCGTAACATCTTGTCCTTCTTCTTTTCACAATAAAAATTATTATGATTATTATATTAATCTTCCTCAGCGTGCTCAACCTCAACCGATGCGGGGTGAATTCCCCGAAACACTGTGTATTGAGCAGGGAGTGATACTTTCTTGCAGGTTTGCCAAGTGGAAGGTTCAATTGACTTCTCGTGTGCCCTGGATGGCGGTCGTGAGTCAGTCAAGTGTCAACTCAAGTCGGCGGAATAGCGCGAGCCCCGGTGCGGGGAGAGAACTCTTTCTTACAAATCATCGCCGAAGTCGCAACCACTACTTCGTACTGTTGTGCCCAGCGCGGGCTTGCGACTAGTTGGTTTGGAGGTGACAGCGTTGCGAATGACCGAGGGTCCTCGACGTCTGTCTCACCGTCCAGGAGCGACACTGACTCCCGCTGCTATCTCGGGTGTTCACGAGGTGTTTGTCGCGCTGGAAACGGAGCGTCTCTGTAAGTCTGTGTCCCTGGTGATGTTTGTGCCTGGAGAGCACTATATAAGTGGTGCTCTTCAGGCACAATCTTCCTCAGCCTACTCAAGCTCAACTGATGAGGAGTGAATTCCCCGAAACACTGTGTATTGAGCAGGGAGTGGTGCTTTCTTGCAGGTTTGCCGAGTCGAAGGTTCGATGGACTTCTCGTGTGCTCTGGATGGCAGTCGTGAGTCAGTCAAGTGTCAAGTAAAGTCGGCGGAATAGCGCGAGCTCCGGTGTGGGGAGCAAACCCTTTCTTACAAATTATCGCCGAAGTCGCAACCACTACTTCGTACTGTTGTGCCCAGCGCGGGCTTGCGACTAGTTGGTTTGGAGGTGACAGCGTTGCGAATGACCGAGGGTCCTCGACGTCTGTCTCACCGTCCAGGAGCGACACTGACTCACGCTGCTATCTCGGGTGTTCACGAGGTGTTTGTCGCGCTGGAAACGGAGCGTCTCTGTAAGTCTGTGTCCCTGGTGATGTTTGTGCCTGGAGAGCACTATATAAGTGGTGCTCTTCAGGCACAATCTTCCTCAGCCTACTCAAGCTCAACTGATGAGGGGTGAATTCCCCGAAACACTGTGTATTGAGCAGGGAGTGGTGCTTTCTTGCAGGTTTGCCGAGTCGAAGGTTCGATGGACTTCTCGTGTGCTCTGGATGGCAGTCGTGAGTCAGTCAAGTGTCAAGTCAAGTCGGCGGAATAGAGGGAGCTCTGTACTGGTGTGGGGAGCGAACCCTTTCTTATTTTCGCACACCAAGAAATAGTAACTGAAAACGCACCACCTCTACGACTCGTAGATCTACTGCTCTAGCTCTCGCTAGGCTCACCATCTCCGGCTGGGGCTTTGACTCGCGGTGTGAACTCGCTTCCTTCGGTGTCAGTCTGTTTGGCACGTCTCTGGTAGATCTACATGGTCGCACCCTAGCCCTGTTTGTTTAAAAAAAAAAACCAATGTTCAACGTCTCGGCGGGGCCGGGGGGCTGATGGTGCGTAGGTACTAGGTACAGCAGAAAACTACTCTCTCGCCGATTCCGGCCGAATACGGCAGAGCACTGGTGCGGGGACCAGAAAGGAGAGACGAATCCTCGTGCTAGAGTTGTACGCGTGCAAACGGCGTACAGGGCACTGCCGAACTAGGCATCTCGTAGTATGTTCTCGCTCCGTGGCGAGCCAAACGGGGCATCGGATGGCTACGACGCACGTAAATGGCGCTGATTTTCGCTTCGCAGCGACCAGTCAGGGTCGCCAGTTTGCAGCGTCGCTGTACGCTATGAGATTAGTGACACATTTCGGAGCCCTGTCGTTCCCAAAAGACTTCCACACTGTTCGCAGGCACAATACAAAATATTTGCTGTGAGTGAGCACGAAGCGGAAACCGATAAGAGCTGATCTGGCGGAAACTAAGCAGCAGTGTAGGCTCCGGGTTGATGGTGAAAGATTTACATTACGAACCGCTTTGAGAAAACAGGATCCCGATTGAGTATTCTGCCACTTTTTCGACAGGACGCTGGACCTGCAAGTAGTCGGACTGAAATCGTCCTCAACATTATCCGTGTCTGACAACGCGGCGGTGCGATTCGACGGCTCTGCATGCCTAGGTTTCGGGCCAAACGTGCCAACATGGATGGCGGCGCCGTCACACTGCTGTCCGTGCTCGTCATGGCCACGTTGTGCACCGGTTCGCTGGGCGACAGCACTGGAACTAGTAAGGAATCACTGAACTGAGTATTTCGTAGTGTGTGTCCGATACAATCCTTAAATTAACGTTGCACTCCCCCCTGAAACAAAAACACTTCTTTGCGTTTGTCTTCGCAATTTTTGAAACTTTTATACTCAAGAAATGTGCTGAAGGCATAATAATTCGAGACAATGGAGAGACACACTTATGCAGAGTATATTTACTATCATAGAATATAATATGGCTTGAAAGGAGCATCGCTCGACTCTCCTGAGGCCAATTCACGAGGCCAATTCACGAGAAGTGGAAGGTGGATGGGGGTCACGAAGTTTTTTTTATTGCCGAAGAAGTACTATGATGTACTGATAGGCTGATATCGAAATGCCCCCAGGAAAGCGATACATGAGCTATGTATGGCCAGTATGAGGACAGGGGCGTCGAAAGGTATTTTAGTGCGGTACGGTCAGCCATCTGAAGTACAATTTCCTCGTGGAGGAGTGGTGGCGGAGCGGGAAAATTTGGAACTTTAGAGCCAAGATCAGTGTGTTTTATTGATTCACGGGGTACCCGGGGCAATAAGTGCTACGGTCAATACCATAGTGACCGTAGCGTGTCCGACGCCCCTGGGTGATCACTTCCACTCGTACTTTTTTCTTTTCTTTTCTTATTTTACTAGGGAATTCCCAACAGGCATCATCGCCATCTTACAGGGAACCCTAAAAAAGTCTTGATGGATGAACGAAGTACTACACATTGATCTATTGTCATATTGCGCAAAGCCGCTCCGGGCACTTATAAAACCATGCAAATACAAGCAGGCACAGTCATGGGCTGTTGTTAGTCAATGAGTTAGGCATGCTTGATGGCATAATTAGATATAGCGGCACATTGGTTGATAGCCGTGCAAGTGTATCGTGCCAAGATGTACACAACCCGGGGCTAGCAAACTCTTGACAAAATAGAAAACGTAATGTGTTGATATTCCGAGTTTCACCCAAACGGGCCTCATCAGTGCCTGGGAGTCACTTTTTGACACCGGCAGTAGCCACAGTTAACCCTTTGCACTCTGCTCACAGTGTGTGTGCTGGGGGAGGGAATGTGTGTTTGTGTGTGTGTGTGTGTGTGTGTGTGTGTGTGTGTGTGTATGTGTGTGTGCGTGCGCGTGAGTGTGTGTGTGTGTGAGTGAGCGTGTGTGCGTGTGTGTGTGTGTGTGCGTGCGTGCGCGTGAGTGTGTGTGTGTGTATGTGCATATGTGTGTGTGTGTGTGTGTGTGTTTGTGTCGCTATCGCTATCATCGCTTTTGCGATGGGCAGGTCTGAGGTTTGAGGTGTATTTGTGTGCTTATGAGTGTGTGTGTCCGTGTATGCGTGCGTGCTAGCATTAAGCATGTGCTGGCATGTGTGTGTGTGTGCGTGCCATCAATTCTGCTCATTGGTAACTATGACAACAGCAATGGTGACCCGGGGTTCCTGGTGCCGGGATATGCTACCCTATACACTCCACAGTGCTATTCGTGTCTAAGAAATTGAAGAGGTGCCCTGGCCACAAAAACGCGGCAAGACTGAGCAGTGTTGATGCCGAGACCCTGGGTCGGTTTAACTGGCACGAGAGGGTAACATGGATACCGTGAATGGGATGTTTGGGTCTTTGGCCACTTTGCGGTGGGTCTGATCTACTCACGTCCCGCTGCTTAGAAACCAGTTATACACATGTAGCTACAGTCCATTTCAAAACTATAGGGTTTTTGAAATATTTCAAATTTGGCTGGAGGTTTTTGAGAATAGTTTTCGGAATATTGCTCAGGTCCGCTCCACAATTACTCTCATGTAGTTTCTAAATGATTGGATAACAGACGCCCAATTTGGAAACATTTATGCACAAAGTGATCACAGATTTTATGTGGTATAGATGCTGGCATAACGGTTTTTGCCTAGGTACGCGTCTATAGTTTTTGAAATGGACTGTAGAACAATCGGAGCGACAGAAGGTAGCAGCCTCTGGTCATGCATAGCGCGTGTAATGTAAACGTATGCAGTGAATTTGATAATGGTAGCGGTAGATGAATGTAGCAGACGTGTATCGGTTTTGACAAAAATGGTAAAAACTACGTAAGCAGTTTTAACACCCCGAACATTGGTCTTGATGTTTTAGGATGAGTTCTTGTTGTTGTGCCAACTCAATTTGCACGTATGTCGAATGCCGAGAATTGCACCACATGGACATTTGCGACCTTACATGATAATCTTGTTGACGTGTGGATTGTTGGTGATAATTTAACTTCTGCTATCTGGAATATAATTATTAGAAGGGCCCGGTCCGGAGGTTGTCGGATAACGTGCACGCCCCTGGGTTTCTGCGTGCACTTCGGGCCATGATGCTGGTGTTAGCTGCGTGCAAGGTATGCGGATTTGTCATTATAGGATGAATGTAGTGAGAGATAAAACGACAGGCGGCAGATTTAAGAAATTGAGATACTGGAGCTTCGGGCAGTCCGAAGAAGCATGCATGTTATGTAGCGGGTGCAGAAAATGATATCGTGTCCTACGAAGTATTCGGAAGGACCTGAGGCCTTACTCAATATCACCATCTAAGATTCCCAGCTTGCTTGTTTGAAGTTTTATTTTACATCGCAAACCAAACGGGCATTGATGCCCAATATTATGATGGTGATAGAATAAAAAGTGTGGCTCGATAAAGCTCAGTGCACTTGAGAAAATGAGAAAACAGTCAATAGGAAGTATTAGTACAAGTCAAGTTCGAACGAAGTAACAATCAGAGAGAAATAGGAAGATGAGGACTTATGCCAGAGGGAGGTGCTATTCGGCCATATTAACCGTGGAAAACACTTTCAGCAATCTTTTAAACGGGGTTGGACGACGAGTGGACGTGAGTTCCTGTGGCAGGGTGTTCCAAAGCTTCACGCAATGCATCTGATGAGAAGGAAACTACGTGGGCGCGTGAGATCTGCCGGGCGCCCAACATTAAGAACATCCTGCTGAACGCCAATGTCAGAATTCCAGCTGGTAGCCACTCAACCCTTGCTCAAGGTGGATCGCCACGACAACGCCGCACCTAGCTCAGCAAGCGAGTAATACCATACCTCAGCCAAGGTAAAGAAGCCATCTGAGATTTGAAAACATTGCGATCTCTACAGCAACCTGCAGTGGAAGACACAACTATTGTTTTGTAGAGTTAACAATGGACCATATCATATACCGTAATAACGCTCATATAAGCACATGCGCTTATAAGGGAATTTTTGCTACAAATCCAATTTTCAGAAATGAAAATGTTTCACCTAAACTTGCATGCGCGATCAGAGTTCAGTTGCCAGAGATTTTGTGTTTGACTAGGTCTTGTAGTGTCAGCTTCATGGTTCCTGTATGCAGGCTCCTGCGGAAGGCCTCACCGCTCCTAGATTCTCGCAGCCGAGCTTCAGTGTACCGTGGGTTTGTGCGCCCAGTAATGGAGTACTGCCCATTGGTCTGGATGGGTGCAGCAGATTGTCACTTGCAGCGACTTGACCAGACGCAACGCTCAGCCCTCCACCTGATGGGCCCCGGCGCAATGCTGCAAAGCCTGTCTGTCCGGCGCATGGTAGCTGCTTGCACCCACATTTACAAGCTACTGTGCTCCAATCCTACCAGCCCACTTCGTCAGCTCTTGCCTCCCTCTCAAGCCCCCCGACCAGCCCATGTTCAACCCACTCGTCTCTCTCTCTCGTCCGTCTCGACATGCATAACTACCAGCTTGAGACAGGGCTACCTGTCAACAGCCGGGAAAGTTGCCGTAGAGCCTTCCCCGTCTGTGCTGTCCCTGTATGGAATGCCCTGCCATCCGCCGTCCTCAGCCAGCCACCTGACCGGAAACGGCTGCAAAGTTTCAAAGTGTCTGCCTTCCGGCACCTCCGTGCTCAGCAATGGCACTGGGCCACTGACACTCTGTAATATGTATGCACATCTGCCTACACACTGCTGCATATTGCGATACGCCTCGTGCCCTGCTTGCCCGTTTTTCTGGATCTGAATGTGCATCCATTACGCATTATATAATTATACTATATTTGGGTCTCTCCCCCTCTCTTGCTCCCCAACCCTCCCCGCTCACTCTCTCTCTCTCTATCTCTCTCTCTCTCTCTCTCTCTCTCTCTCTCTTTCTCTCTCTCTCTCTCTCTCTCTCTCTCTCTCTCTCTTTCTCTCTCTCTCTCTCTCTCTCTCTCTCTCTCTCTCTCTCTCTCTCTCTCTCTCTCTCTCTCTCTCTCTCTCTCTCTCTCTCTCTCTCTCTCTCTCTCTCTCTCTCTCTCTCTCTCTCTCTCTCTCTCTCTCTCTCTCTCTCTCTCTCTCTCTCTCTCTCTCTATCTCTATCTCTATCTCTATCTCTATCTCTATCTCTATCTCTATCTCTATCTCTATCTCTATCTCTATCTCTATCTCTATCTCTCTCTATCTCTATCTATCTCTATCTATCTATCTCTTTCTCTCTTTCCCTCTCTCTCGTTATTTCTCTCTCTCTCTCTCTCTCTCTCTCTCTCTCTCTTTTTCCGTCTTTCTCTCCCTCTCTCTCTCTCTCTCTCTCTCTCTCTCTCTCTCTCTCTCTCTCTCTCTCTCTCTCTCTCTCTCTCTCTCTCTCTCTCTCTCTCTCTCTCTCTCTCTCTCTCTCTCTCTCTCTCTCTCTCTATCTCTCTCTCTCTTCCTCTCTCTTCCTCTCTCTCTCTTCTATTGGCACGCCTGGTTGTGCTGAAGCCGAGACCCAAGGTCGGCAGAGCATCCCAGACCGCGCCACCACTCCCGTTATTCATGGCTCACACATGACGGGTTTACGTGACTCTAGTAAAAAAATAAAAAAATAAATGCTGCTTTTCAGACTTTTTCCGTGATTGTGTCAAAGTGAGAATTTCGGTAGTGCCTCGCCGATTAGAGTAGGCGCTTATAAGTGAGAGTGCGCTTGTATCCTAATACAGGCACATGCGCCTATACGTGCGTTACTGAAGTAGTTTTAAGCATGTTCTAGGTGTCATATCAGTCTCAAATATTGTACAGAGGTTCATTATGTCTATATATTAGAGAGGTTCCGCATAACGTAATTACTTTAGTAAAAAACGTAGTCGATCTACGGAAAGTCTTACGTAAACTGCATGCGCATCTGTATTCCGCCATAACGAGTTTTCAAATCACGTAGCTGCCCTTGGCAACTTTCCGTAAGTGGAATGCAAACTAGCAAATTCACTGGGTTTTCCCGCCCACTAACGTAAAGTTGCTCAACTTTACGTAGTGCGGGACCTCTCTATTATGAACAATTTCCAATCAAAAAGCACTTTTCCAAAAAATGACCCATTGGGTCTGTTTTTGCTTTGGACGGGCCATTTAGACAAGGGGATTTGAAAGCGGATTACAAGTACCATCTGGCCCCGCAAGCAATGTACCATCTGGCCCCACAAACAATGGCCAAGTTTAGACTTCAATGTTTGTCTCGTTTTGTTGTTTGTTGTGTCACAGGGGAAGGAGAATGCAAGTTTGATACCTCAATAAAGCTAAAATACTTCCCAGTGCCTGCGACCTATGCCGAAGCTGCTCTGCATTGTCGAAGTATTGAGGGCGACGTGGTATCGGATATCAACTGCGCACAGCAGTTCCTGGAGGAAATTCACAAGACGAGAGTCGAGAAAAAAGTCGATAATTTCCCTACTTGGATTGCCGTGGCAACAGGGCCGCAGTTGCTACGCAATGACGTTGGGTTACACCCCGGCAGTCCTGTTGAAAAAAAGTCTACCGATAAGCGCCTGATCATGTGCCAGGTCCCCAAAGTTCCAGGAACTGCGCACATGCCAGAATACGTTCATGGTGAGTTTTCTCAACTGTTGTGGTGGGCTTTTTGGCCTTGTTGGTGTCTGTATTATTTTCCAGTCAGATTTTCGACTTTTTTCACCATGGACTGGGGGCCAGGCGTGCGTTTGTATGTGTGTGTGGGGGGGGGGGTGGGGGGAGGGGGTAATCCCTGGACAAACTGTCGTCGTTTATTGAACGATGCCTGCGCAGGGAAAACATGAACCAGCTGGGAGCGAAATCCTACAGTTTGGATGACTGGCGGTGTGTAGTCGCTACACACATCTGCATTGATTTATTTATTTATTTTTACAGCTCCAGGGCACACTCAGTTCGAATACGTACAATTCAATCCGTTCTAGATTTCATTAGTCTCAAATACACAGTTTGGTTGTACAGTGCCCGTTGTCACAACCAATGGAAATCTACTTCGCGAAATGCTACGTTAACGCCAGCAGTGTATCTTGGGTACCCTGTAAGAAGACCTTAGGGTTGATAATAATACTTGGTCCGCCCAGTTACAATTGGCGCTTATCTTCACACTTGTCTCAGGAAGGAAATACGAATATTAGAAGTAAGCCACGATCACAAAGCACTATGTACATGATTATTTACATGTGAGTAAGCAACTCAGTCGAAAATTCAAGCAAGTTACACATCCTCCTCGCCACTATCGTCGCTGGAGGAAAAGCTCAAACCGTTTGATCCGGACAGCTGCTGCACGTTTCATAGCTTGTTCCACTTCTCCTCGTCTCGAATCACGCTCAAAGGCAGTGCATGCCTGTCACCTTGACGATCAGAAGCTGAGTGAGACTGCCCGCATGTTCGCTGTAAGTGTTATCCCCATTTGTCGCAATACTGCGACTTTGTTTTAGACAAGAAGGCAACGCCACAGTGTCCTTTTTTTCAAATCGCCTCTTGATCAGCACCCACGCGAGCGGCTGGTGGTGCTTGTAGATCGACATGCAGTGCACTGATGGCTTCCGCTTGATGTAGCACCTGTGCGTACTGCACCTAAGTCCTAACGCCGTGCACCAGGCTTTTCGGCTTGTTCCTTGTAAGTCCTTTGCTCGAGTGTTTCCCTCACTCAGGGCTTCGTGTTTATTTTGATTAGTTCCTTGTGGTTGCTGTAGATTGCGTTTTTGGTGTTGGTGTGGGAGTTACTGATATGCAAGGTGGGTCTTTTTGAGTCGGCATTTGTAGTGTTAATGCAGCTGTCAGTGTTGCTCGCGGTCTGCCACTGGCAAGCTCTACCGCCGCAAGAACCGATGGCGGAGGATCAGGAGGAGGCAGTGGGACCGGGACCGCAAGCGGCACCGCCTCAGCCAAAGCCGCCGGGGGCACTGACGAGGGAACCACCGACGGCCGGAGCAAAGGCGGCGACACAAGCCGACCCGATGAGCCACCACGCCCATTCTCCTCCACCACCGCCACCAACGACGGCGGAGCAAGCACAGTCTGTGAGCCAGGATCCGCGGGTTGTGTAGGCAACGGCTGTGTGGTTAATGGTTGTTTTCTAGGTCGCCCTCGCTTCGGTCTTTGTTGTTGTGCGCAAGGTGGAAGTATGTGACGTGGTGTGTGTTGTGGTGTGTGTTGTTTGATGTTTGATGTGTGCGTTCAGGACGAGACAGAGAGAGTACAGAGGAAGCGGAGGATGGAACGGACGGCGGAGGGAGCAGTGAGTCGGAGAGCAGTGATGGGAGTAATGGTGAGAGTGCCGGTGAGAGTGTTAGTGTTGTGCGTAGGTTTCGTGTTAGCAAGTCTTCAGTGTACAATCATCTGCTGGCTAGTCCTGATTGTTGCAGTGCGTATTCCGACTCTTCGTTCACTGTATTGTGCCGTGGTCGTCATGGTTATGGAATACAGTTAAAAGTGTTGGAAGCTATCTATCAGCGTCTGTACAAGCCTAATTTGTGTGTACAGAAAGATAGTATAATTGGGTTGAAATTGTTCAAGTAACGTGTCGTGTTTAGTGCGGGCAAGCTTGGCCGTTAATGTTCTAGGTGTAATGTACTGCTGTTATGTGTTATCACGTTGTCTTTCCTTCCTTTCTCCTTAATAATAATAATAATAATAATAAACACAGCTCGCATCTTCCCTGAACCTATTAGACCGGAGCAGAGTCGACGCATCTGTCAACAATGTCAAGCCAAGTTAATCTATCTCCTGTAGCTTGGAGAGCGCTCTCCGCGGAGAGATCTGCTGCCTTCAAGTCGTACCGATTCGTATCTATCCACCGCAATGGTGGACGGCCACGGTTTTTTTATGTCGTTTGTGTTGATTGATAGCTCCGGGACTTGGTACGTCGGGAATGCCCAAGTAAAATAATACAATACAATACAAAGCGTACGCGTTTCTTGACCCAGCCGTGTGTCTACTGAATACAACTATAGTAGCAAACAATAAAATAAATCCACGGGTTCGGGTACCGAGCAGATCAAGAACAAGTAGTCGTACAACTCCCACAAACAACAATAAGAGGACAGAGAACATGTGTCACTTTCTCTGTCCTCTTATTGTTTGAACTAGCTCTGCCTCTCGGTATCGAGCACTCTCTTGGACAGCCTGGAACCTCTCTGTGTTATAAAGATAGTAGCAGTAGGTTCCTTTGTTTTGACAAGACAAGGCCACAAGGCATTTGCAAACATCAGCACGAGCAGTTCACCAGCAACACTCCACACCACCAAGTAGTCAATACTGACTAGCTTGTTGCGTTCCATAAGATCGTGGGAACCCAGCAGAGGAGGGCAAATGAACGGCAAATGAATGGCGTGGGGATAAAAAATAGGATGGATGTCTGTATTCCGTGGCAAAAAAAGGAGAGGTGCGGCTTTTATACTCCTGTGCGCATTCTACTCTGAAAAAAAAGGTGATGAAATGGATTTGTCGGGATGTGGTCTTCAGGTCGACCCGCTAGCTGATGAGCGTCAGCCTCGTCAATGTAAACCAAATGTCAAATCAGTGTGCGCTGAGGGTTGATGCAGCAACCTTTCATTACTCCGGGTACTGTAGTACTGTCTGTTCAGTGTTTGCGCATGGTGTTCTCGGTGTACCCTCTGCATGCACGCTCAAAACATGCTCAAAGCATGCTCAATGTATGCTCAAAGAATTGCTGTGTGCATGATCCGTGCATGCTCGAAGCGTGCACAGAGAATGCGGGGTGTGCGCCCAATGCATGATCATTATATGCTCAGGGTACGTTCTCAGGGTTCTGTTCTTCTGGAAAGGGGAAAATCTCGAACACAATATCTCACGTGAGGTTAAGTCCTGTGACTATTCTGCATTCATATGTTTCAGTTACGTTCGCGTGCACGGGTTCTGCGAAATCAGTGACATTCTTCGACGTCGACTTGCTCTACTTCACGGGACAGCGTTTGTGTCGGACCACTGGCGGGGGCGTGTTGACTCACGGCGACAAGTGCTTGGACAAGTTTCAACACTGGTATTATCAAAAGAATCACAGAGCCATGCGGGTGAGCTGGATGGACGGCGGCGGAGACCTCTCAGAGTACACGAGGAAGACGAGCGACCACAAAGAGCGCTCCTTGATTTCGGAGCCAGCGCAACGATACGGAGTTCTCTGCGAGAGTCATGGTAAGCCCTTTCCCGGTGTTTTAGCTTCTCAACCCGACGGTGCGGAGTGCACGTCTCAATTATGATCTGGTGCAACCTTGTGGTCCAAAAGGGGACGGCGGGGGGATAGCTTTTTTAGTCCCAATTGTCACTGTACTGGAGTTCAGCTTGGAAATTTGTAGGGGGGAAATTCGCCGCTACCCATTTCATGTGCTTTCTCGCGGAACTTTAGAACAGAAACTGTTTCCCCCTCGTTACTGGAATGCGTAGAGTGTTCCCGTGATTCTTCACTTCTCCTTTCTGTGATGGTGAGCTGAACATCACTATTGCCTTGCTTGCATGGAGCGTAATATTGTTTTCTCGTGTGTTTGTGTGCATGTGTGTGAGTGGTTTCTCGTGTGTATGTGTGTGTGTGTGCGTGCGTGCGTGCGTGTGTGTGTGTGCATGTGTTTTCACCTCTTCGCATGTTCCCTCACACATTGCAGGCAAGCATAGATGTGCCTCGTTCAAGACAATAGATATTCAGTACATCCCCAGGAATATGACGTACGTTAAAGCCAGGGACCACTGCAAAACTCTCGGTGCCAGGATTCCACGGAGAACGCGCTGTGTACAAGGCTACTTGGCAGCGACTTCGAAGTCGTACACACCTGTAGCCTGGCTGTGGTGGCACAGTGGACATGACCAGTACGCTAGCAATGAAAAGCTATACGCCATCAATGGCAGCTCACCACCACAACACGAAGTTGTCTGCGAATTTATCTCAGGTTAGAAAAACGATTTCTTTAACAACTTTGAAACTCCATTGTAGGCTTGTCATATATTTTCAGTGCGCCCAACTCGCAACATACGAACAGTTCTTCGCTAGACCACGTACAGCAAATCGTCAAATAGGAGGATAATAGGCTCCTACATCCCTGATGATGCCCTCCTGGGTGAAAATTTGGACAATGTATTGTAGGCGGTGTAGCCAAGGACTGTTGCGAGTTGGGTGTGCGGAAAATGATTTATCCTTCGATACAATTTTTGACAATTTAGAAAATCCTGATGATGGCTCCAGGCCTTGGAAGAGATGTATTAGTAATTTGCAGCGAAGACACCACTGTTCAGTGCCGAGAAGTTTTACATACTCATGTCATTGCCTGTGTGAGACGAGTGCATATGGCCGATCGGCTTGCGGGCCTGCCTGCGAAGCAAGAGGTCCCGAGATCGAGACCCGTGCTGGTTGTAAGGAGTACGGTGATTAACTTCCCCGACACCCACAGCTTGGGGGGGGGGGGGGAGGAGAACAAGGATGCGGTTTACGGCGTTGTGGGCTGTTACATGGCCGGTCGGTTGATTAACTCATCTCCTCTCCCCTGACTCAATTGTGAGGTGTGCATTCACCACTAAAATGTACAGGCGTGGTGGTGATAGCTTGCTGATGCAATATTCCGCTGTTTTCTCCACGCTGCTTTTCCCCTCTCTCTCACAGGTGAAGAATGCGCAAAAGTTCGAAAGAGGATGCAGCATGTTCCAGGGGCTCTACCACATGCTTCCGCTGTTTCGAAATGCAAATCGTTGGGAGCAGAGCTGGCTTGGTCGATAGCCTGTGCCAGGTCCTTCGTGGGGGACATCAGAAAAAACGAGAAAGACCCGAAATTGTCTCCTCCTTCTGCCTGGACGTCACTTACGGATGCGAGACATCCGAAAGCTCCACTGGATACCAGCGGCCGACCTGCGGATCCATTGCAGAAACGTCTTGTTATTTGCGAGACTCTTGAGCTGCCTGCCAGGCCAAAGCCACAGCCAAAGCCACAGCCAAAGCCACAGCCAAAGCCACAGCGAAAGCCAAGGCCAAAGCCGGTGGTGACACCCGGTGAGTTTTCCTCGACTGTTTGAAATCTTCTATTCTCACGATGGCCTGTGGACTGTTGTGGGCTGTGTTGTATTGCGGTCATGCGTTTCTTGTAGTGCTGACGTCGTTGTGCTGGGAAACCTGGTGTCAGGGTTAAACGGTGATGCTGGTGTCATTATATTTTGGCGGTTTAGAAATGACAAAGCACGGTAAAACCTGTAACTAAAGACCACCGTGACTAGCGACCAGCCTGGTACTACAGTAAAACCTGTAACTAAAGACCACCGTGACTAGCGACCAGCCTGGTACTACAGTAAAACCTGTAACTAAAGACCACCGTGACTAGCGACCAGCCTGGTACTTGAGACCACTTCGCCAAGGCACGGACGGTCTCAAATTCATATCATGGTTGTGAGGTGCAAACCTCTAACTAAGGACCACCTGCCACTAAAGGCTGCTTTTTCTGGCACCCAAGGGGTGGTCATTATTCACAGGTATTACTGTACGCCGTTGTAAGCCCATTGTTCTTTGCCAAATATGGATTGAATGAGTAATGCGTGTGAGTACGCTGGGATAAGCAATGCACTGTTGACTGCCCTACATAACCATGCCCAGGTGGCTGTGTAAGGGACCATCGCAAAAGTTCGCAGAAGCCCCCGAAACGAAGACCGTGAGTTTCGGGCCTGACCCCCCTCCCTCCCCCCTCAAACGAAACGACAGTCACAATATGGGCTTCATTTTTTCACTTGGATGCTCACACATAATAATTATTATAATATACTACACAAGCATTGTTGTATCAGTGTGTAACAATGTACAGCACTTTATAAATGCAACGATGATATCACCTTGCAGTGGGTGATCTAAGAACGAGAACAGCTAGAGCTATGCAGTTGTATCCTTTGAGCATTACAATGAACGTTGATTGGTGTATATTGCTTTCACATTCAAGCGATCTACGCTGGCTGTGATGGCATGCTAATCCTACCTGTACAGCTCCTATAATTATGTCGTCAATACTTTTTTGAATTGAAGCCCGGTTTGCGATTTTCGCACCGACTCCCTCCCCCCCCAAACGTATGCTCTTCGTTTCAGGGGCTTCTGCGAACTTTTGCGATGGTCCCTAAGGTGTTGGCAGTTCGGTACTGGAGTGTAAAGAGTGTTCCCGGGATTCTTCATTTCGCGTTGCTGTGATGGTGAGCTGAACGTCACCATTGCCTTCCTTGCATGGTTTCTTGTGCGGTGGCTCTTATGACTTATTTATTTTGTGTGTTTGCATGCATGTGTGTATGTGTTGGTGCATGCCCGCTTATATGCGCGTGTGTGTGTGTGAGTGTTTGTGTGTGTGTGTGTGTGTGTGTATTTGTGTTTTGTGTGTGTGCATGAGTATACGTGTTTATGTGCTGGTTCGTGACTGTATGTCTTTGTGTATGCGTGTGTGTGTCTTTGTGTGTCTTTGTGTGTGTGTGTGTGTCTTTGTGTATGTGTGTGTGTGTGTGTATGTGTGTGTGTGTGTGTGTGTGTGTGTCTTCGTGTATGTGTGTGTGTGTGTGTGTGTGTCTTTGTGTGTGTGTGTGTGTGTCTTTGTGTGTGTGTGTGTGTGTCTTTGTGTGTATTTGTGTGTGTGTGTGTGTGTGTGTGTGTGTGTGTGTGTGTGTGTGTGTGTGTGTGCATGTGTGTGTGTGCGTTTGTGTATGTGTGTATATATGTGTGTGTGTGTGTGTGTGTGTGTGTGTGTGTGTGTGTGTGTGTGTGTGTGTGTGTGTGTGTGTGTGTGTGTGTGTGTGTGTGTGTGTGTGTGTGTGTGTGTGTGTGTGTGTGTGTGTGTGTGTGTGCGTGCACTTGCATGTGTGTGTGTGTGCCTCTATGTGTGTATAGGAGGGAAGCATAGATGTGCCTCTGATCCGACGGTTGAGATTCAGTACATCCCCAGTAATATGACGTACGTTAAAGCCAGGGACCACTGCAAAACTCTCGGTGCCAGGATTCCACGGAGAACGCGCTGTGTACAAGGCTACTTGGCAGCGACTTCGAAGTCGTACACACCTGTAGCCTGGCTGTGGTGGCACAAGGGGCGAAACAAGTATGCCAGCGATGAAAAGCTATACGCCGTAACAGGCAGCTTACTCCCAGCGAACGAAGTTGTCTGCGAATTTATTTCAGGTTAGTAATCTGGCATTAGAATTTTGACAATTTTTGATATCCTGATCATAGCTCCTGGCCATATTAGCGATATTAGTTATTTGCCGTGAAGACACCGCTGGATTAGGGGATGGTATTTGTAGGATATTTCATGTCGTACGGATGTCAATGCATTTAAAAATTTGTAATTAGGCCATGGTAAAAAATCTCTTTGATTCTCAAGTACGCGCGCATCGATTTTTGGTGGCGCACCGACGATTTTTTTTATTTCTATGCATGCATATGCGTGCATGAAAACGGTCAATGCGAAAGGCATGAATCCGGGAGTAGTAAAATACCGGTATTTTTCTACTCCCTGGCCTGAATAATAAAATATAAATTAATTATGAACCTGTGACGTACACATGTGTGACCCTATCTTTGGAAATAAAAAAATTGTGGGAATTAAAATAAAAAATCGCTCGCTCGCACCGATTTTCACAGGCTCATGACCTGAGAATCAACTTTATTTTTTACCATGGCCTTAATAGCACACAAACTGCTTTTAAAATGAGTTCAGTTCAGTACAGTGGGAAGTCTAAACAGCTTGGGACTAGAAGGCGAGTTTCAAGATTTTATCGTGCGCTATGCTCTGCACTGTTTTATATCTTCTTTGTGTGTGTGTGTGTGTGTGTGTGTGTGTATGTTTTTGTGTGTGTGTGTGTGTGTGTGTGTGTGTGTGTGTGTGTCTTTGTGTGTGTGTGTCTTTGTGTGTCTTTGTGTGTGTGTGTGTGTGTGTCTGTGTGTGTGTGTGTGTGTGTGTGTGTGTATGTGTGCGTGTGCGTGTGCGTGTGCGTGTGTGTGTGTGTGTGTGTGTGTGTGTGTGTGTGTGTGTGTGTGTGTGTGTGTGTGTGTCTTTGTGTGTCTTTGTGTGTGTGTGTGTGTGTGTGTGTGTGTGTGTGTGTGTGTGTGTGTGTGTGTATGTGTGTGTGTATGTGTGTGTGTGTGTGTGTGTGTGTGTGTGTATGTGTGCGTGTGTGTGTGTGTGTGTGTGTGTGTGTGTGTGTGTGTGTGTGTGTGTGTGTGTGTGTGTGTGTGTGTGCCTCCATGTGTGTATAGGAGGGAAGCATAGATGTGCCTCCGATCCGACAATTGAGATTCAGTACATCCCCAGGAATATGACGTACGTTAAAGCCAGGGACCACTGCAAAACATTCGGCGCCAGGATTCCACGCACAACGCGCTGTGTACAAGTCTACTTGGCAGCGACTTCGAAGTCGTACACACCTGTAGCCTGGCTGTGGTGGCATGAGGGGCAAAATCAGTATGCCAGCAATGGAAATCTATACGCCGTAAAAGGCAGCTTACTCCCAACGAACGAAGTCGTCTGCGAATTTATTTCAGGTTAGTAATCTGGCATTATAATTTTGACAATTTTTGATATCCTGATCATAGCTCCTGGCCATATTAGCGATATTAGTTATTTGCCGTGAAGACACCGCTGGATTAGGGGATGGTATTTGTAGGATATTTCATGTCGTACGGATGTCAATGCATTTAAAAATTTGTAATTAATAGCACACAAACTGCTTTTAAAGTGAGTTCAGTTCAGTACAGTGAGAAGCCATTATGTGGAATAGATTGCCACCAGCAGCAAAATGTTCAAATAGGTATTTGGATTTTAAATCTCAAGCCTTGCAGTATATATTATCAGCGACATAGGTTTTCCAATGCTTACTGGATTGATATCTGTTCGTTGCAACCAACCTTCCGTCATTTTTCCTTTCTCTTTTTCTCTTGTATCTACTTTTTTTTTTTTTCCACAATATCCTTTAACATGTTATTCACAGTGGGTCCAATGTTATTAGGCATTTTGCCTGTTTTGATTTCCACTGTAAATAAAGTATACAACAACAACAAGTCTAAACAGCTTGGGACTAGAAGGCGAGTTTCAAGATTTTATCGTGCGCTATGCTCTGCATTCTTTTAAACCTTTTTTTGTTTTGTTTACTATGTTCACATACCCAACTCATTAATAATACAGAAGACAATGGTACTGAGACAAGGACAAACGTGACAACTACTGAGAAGGGGCTGCACCATCTATCTTCATGTCGTTGCCTGTGTGTCACCAGTGCATATGACCGATTTGTTTGCAGGCCTGTCGGGGCGATATCATGTCCTGAGATTACGACCAGGGCAGGTTGCAGGGAGCAAAAAAAAAGGAGTGATTAACTTCCCCGACACCCATTGTACCCAAAGCTAGGCTATTGTAAGCCCGTTCCAAATATGGATTCGATGAGTAATGCATGCTAATCCGCTGTTGCGATCAGCAATGCACTGTTCAACACCCCACACGACCACGACCAGGCAGCTGCGTGGGTTGTGGAGGGTGCAAATTACATCATTGCGGCATGGGCTTATTCTTTACCACTTGCAGTAACGAAGATGAACCTGCGAACAGCCTGATTCTGTTGGTGCTTGATCCATTGCAGTTCGTCAAGAACGAGCCACAAACAGAAAGAGAGGGCTTGAAAATTCAGGAGGCCTTGCTATCCTTTTTATTTTAACCTCAAATCTCTAGCACCCAGACAGGTCGGGATACATGCACATTCCACAAAGCTAGCTATAATAGTATTAGAAAAAAATTACTTCCTCCGCATCATAGAAATTGTCGCAGTTTGACGAGTGACTTGTCACTTGTTACCGACAACAACAAAAGCTACGGCATACGGCAGTTATTGCACAGGATGATAGTCTGAAGTCTAGAGCAACGTTCCAGGACAATGGGACTGAGAGTTTCATACGGACCTGAAGGCCTCGTCCTCGCTGATGTCAATGGATGAAACAATATCGTTCCGCGAATTTTTGAAGAAGGTTGTAAGTTGGACGCGCCTTATATATCAAACACTTTCTCAACAGGACAAGAACTGCTATGCGTGTCACCTGCTCTGGATGACTCCAACTACTTCAAAACCAACTCGGCACGAGTACGTTGGCAAAGAATTCACAATGGTTGTGAGGTTGTTTGATTACGCTGGCTGCGGAATCACCTCCATCTTGAAATGACCTTTGTTTTTTTTACCTATGGAATGCCTGTCCATTTTAGCTCAGTGCGATCGCAGCTCATGTAGGCATGTGCACTATCACGTCGAGCGCACCCTGCTTTTCAGCATCACTGGTCTACGCTACCATTGTGTTCATGTAGTTAACACTACACGTACAAGGCATTGTACAAGTCTGATTTGCATGGAGGGGGGGGGGGGGGCTATTTAACCAATTTGAGTAGGGTGTGTCCGGTGGCACAACACAATTTTGATTATTTCGCTATTCTCTTCTCTTTGCTTGTCCGTTGTGCTACAGCTGACGAATGCGGAGCGGTTAAGACAACGATGAAATACTTTTCAACGCCTGTTTCACATGCTGATGCCACGTTGAAATGCGTACTAGTCGGTGCAGAGCTCGCACGGTCAATTGCCTGTGCTAAGTCTTTCTTGGATGACGTAAACACGGAGAATCTGACCATTACTGCTTGGACATTCGTTAAGGATCCGAAAAATCCCAAACATTTCCTCGATACCAGCCGCAAGTCTCTCGATCCAAACCTCAAGCGTCCGGTTATTTGTGTGTTCTCTGGGCAGCACGTCACGCCAGACCTGGCCACTCTAAAGACCGGTAAGTTTCCTGTACTGTTGTGAGCTTTGTTCTCTTGTTGCCGGGCATTCTTTTGTTTCTTTTTTCTTTAAAAACACGGCGAGGAGACAATAATTTGATAACCGCAATCAATAAAACCAAGAGTACATAAACAAGAGTGTGCAACTGCCTGCACAACCTCTATGCTGTGCTGCGACGGCAGAACTTTACATCACGTGACATGGTTCAAAAGGTTATGCTGGCAAACAGTGCAAAGTGACCACAAGAGAGTTGTACCCAAAGCTGGGCTGCGTACAACCCAGTATCTATCATGCACTAGAGTGCACGGGTTCATCACGTGATGTGAAGTTCTGCCGTCGCAGACCCCATAGCTGGAGTTGCACACTCTTGTTTATGTACTCTTGATAAAACTAGCTGAACCGACATTTGTGTACTTTATTCATGCAATGTAAAAACTGTGGAGACGATGTGCAATAAAACGATGAAAATATGAAGAAATGGTGTAGGGAAAAAAATATGGATTCAAACAAGTTTTCGTACAACACTCATCAGGAATCGTCGTTGTACTAAAGGACACTGAAACAAAAATTGAACTATTATAGAAAATCTAAGTTAGAGAAATAACACTAAGAGCAACAACAGTGAGATTTACCAGTGTGAATTTTAACAATCAAAGCGAGAAATGAACAAAGGAGAAAAGAAGGAAAGACAACGTGATAACACATAACAGCAGTACATTACACCTAGAACATTAACGGCCAAGCTTGGCCGCACTAAACACGACACGTTACTTGAACAATTTCAACCCAATTAGGCCAAACTAAAGAAGGTGTGTGGTTCGACTAACATGGACATTTTTTTTACGGGCGGGCGGGCGGATTTTTTTTTTTTAAATATATTTTTTAGTACATGTAAATACACTGTATACGCGTATCGAGTAGACTCTACTACCAGCACAAGGCAGCAGTCGTACCACTCACTGCACTGCACTGCAGTACAACTACAAGTCAAGTCCAAAACTTGCAAAAGGAGCCGCCTGCGTCCGCAGACTCACGCCGCACAGCACGTAGACGTGGACGTGTTCAGTCCACGTACGTCAGTCACACGACAGCCCGCCGAAAAAAAGTTACGGTCGGGCTGAAATTGTACGGTCGGTCGGGTGAGTCGAACCACACACCTTCTTTAGTTTGGCCTTATACTATCTTTCTGTACACACAAATTAGGCTAGTACAGACGCTGATAGAATTACACACCAGTGATATTTCTTGAGTTGACGATGGATGTTTCTCACCTTAGAACTCCCTAATTTGCGCCCTGTTAGATTCTCAACACTTGGGATAGTCTGTTATGCCGCGTCGCCAATGGCTACATACTCCTAGGGGTGCGTTTGGTTGGTACGATCTAGAACAGGATCGAACAGCTGGTGCACATGGAGCAGCCTCATGCCAACCAAACGCTACTCCAGAAACAGAGCATATTTTTGTGGAAAAATGTGCCAAACTTGGTGCATTCTTCAAAATGTGTATGGATCACCATGGTCACTTTGTACGGTACGACGAGTCTAACTCAAAAGCGTATGCACGTGATCATTTGGGAACAAAATCGATGTTCCCGCCAGGTTTCACTGTGAAAAAGTGAAACTGCTCGGTCTGCTCCGGCCTCGAGGCCGGAGCAAGCAGAACATGTTCTGGCCGACCCAGAACAGGTGCAGTCCCAACCAAACGCGCTGTTCTGGTGAATCCTGTTCTAGTTCGTACCAACCAAACGCGCCCCTAGTTAGGAGGCGATTTTAAAACGGTGGAAATTGGTGGTTCTTAACCCTTTGAGCACGCGTGACATTCTGACACGTCGTGACACGTCATGACCACTGCCACTGTGACACGCGTGGATGTTCTAGAACGTCACGAGTCAGTATGGAACAACATCGGTTCTGCGTTTCTTCCGTGGCGTGGCATCGAGCTGTACCGCTGCACAGAGGACTCCTAGGATGTTCGAGTACAGTAAAAAATGCGAGTCACTCAGTAAGTTTGAACTGGAGTCACATGCGCGTGCATACATTTCAAAATACCAATTTCGCGTAAAACTACCTTTCTGAAAACGGTCAAAACCTTTGTAATCTTTTTTGTATTTCCAAAACAAAAACTAAAAAAAATCTTTGTTGTATTTCCAAAACAAAAACTAAAAAAATCTTTGTTGTATTTCCAAAACTAAAACTAAAAAAAAATCTTTGTTGTATTTCCAAAACAAAAACTAAAAAAATCTCTGTTGTATTTCCAAAACAAAAACTAAAAAAAATCTTTGTTGTATTTCGTCCAAAACAAAAACAGTCTCAGGATACATGAAAGAATCGTTTGAAATAAAGTTTGCTCAAATAGAGGGAATTTAAAATTTTTATGGCGTGTGGCAGAGGTTTTCAATGGGCCCGGGCTCAAAAGGTTACAAGTACATCGAATATAGGATTGATTGATGAAGAATGCCACTTGCACTCAATGCACACTCAATGCGGGCTCAGTGCATGATCATGTTATGCCGAATGAGTGCAGATACACTGAATTATCATGCTCGATGTATGCCCAATGGATGCTCATTATAATGCTTCAGTTATGCATAAGCCATGCTCATTATAATTCTGAATGCATGTTCAGTGCATTCTCAGGACTCTCTAACGCAGTTTCCTTCGTAATCGGAAAGAACTTGCTTCCAAAATATCTAAATTGAAGTTCAATTTATCATGTGACCACTCGGTTTTCGGTTGTTTCAGAGGAGTACAAATGTCCGTCAGCGAACCGCATTCTGAGGTTCTTCGACACTGATGCGTCATATTTCACGGCAGAACACGTGTGTGCACAAGCCAGTGGTGGCATAGCGGCCATCAGCGATCCTTGCCTCTGGGCTTCCCTCGGTGAAATACACCGGAAGCACGGGCCAATTGTTGCTTGGATGGCCGGCGGCGCGTCATCTAAATACGGACGGAAGACAACGGATAATGTGGAGCATTCTCTTCTCAGCAGGTCCGCACCATTCACATCCAAGGTTATCTGCCAGCTCACCCATGGTGAGTGTACGCCCTAGGATAATGAAATAGCAAATTGTTCACATTCGTAAATCATACTCGTAATACAATTTCGCAACACTAATGACAATTTTACTGTGTGAAGTTCATTAAGAAAACCATCCTCAGAGGGCTCAATTTGCTGAAGGTAAAGAACCTGATGATAAATCATTTGGTTCAGCATCTGACAGTCACAGCGAACCTAGCACTGACTGTCCCACAGATGGTGATCACAAACGCAGACCTCTGTGACAAACCCGCGGAGAGGACCAGAGTTAGAATAGCACCCATTATTGTACAATAAAGTCTAGTGGTTGCAGAGATATGATTGATTCTTTACCGCAATGTTGAAAAGTACCCCCAAAACAATGCATTGAATGGGAGGGTAAGGCTTAATAGGCCATCCACACGATGGACAAACTCACCTTTTATCGTACCAGTCCCAAGGATATTTACTCGGATGCGATAGACTTGGACACACCCATGCAACTGATATTCTTTATCTTGGCCGAGGCCCTTTTTGCTCACGATAGTACTTTGCACGCGGGCAAAAGTGTCGGGTGTTGAAAGTGTGTACGAAATGCACTGCTTCGAGAAAGTAAAATTCAAAATTTAAAGCCCCCAGGCTTATTCAGCAGGTCGCTATGGATACATTGACGTGCGCAAGGTATGCCCAGCACCGCCGTGTGAACGGGATCACGGTTTTCCAGTGTTATCTTTGTTACACGCGTGCATATGTTCAGGCACGAGCACCGGTGCCCTTAAAGGGGAAGTATACCCTAAAATCAAATTTTCACCAGTTGTAGTCTTCTGGGTGCTGAGTCGAATGGTCTTGGTCCGAGGAAGCTGCGACGCTCCCTTCCTACTTGAATCCCAATCGAACTCGCGCACTTCCACCGAAACTGGGTGACTGCGCCCTACTAGATGGGGATTTGTATGCAAAATGTCACTAAAAGCGCCATTTCGTTCTTATAAAAGCACGGATGACCGCGATTGGCCCATATGTTGTAGTCTTTTGGACGCTGAGTCGACTGGTTTTGGTCCGAAAAGGCTGCGATGCAGCGTTCCTCCTTTATTCCCAATCGAACATGGTTGAACAAGCGGTCACGTGCTCCTGGGTGCCCAAATCACCTGGTCACCGCGCCAGCAGGTGACAACTTTCACACCAAGGTTCAACTCGAGTTCAACTCGAGTGACAGGACTGCACCCAAAAAAGGTCAAACAGGCTAGTAAGTTGTACCCTGCAGGCACGGTGACCAGGTGACTGGTGTACGCAGGAGCACGTGACCGCTTGTTCAACCATGTTCGATTGGGAATAAAGGAGGAACGCTGCATCGCAACCTTTTCGGACCAAAACCAGTCGACTCAGCGTCCAAAAGACTACAACATATGGGCCAATCGCGGTCATCCGTGCTTTTATAAGAACGAAATGGCGCTTTTAGTGACATTTTGCATACAAATCCCCATCTAGTAGGGCGCAGTCACCCAGTTTCGGTGGAAGTGCGCGAGTTCGATTGGGATTCAAGTAGGAAGGGAGCGTCGCAGCTTCCTCGGACCAAGACCATTCGACTCAGCACCCAGAAGACTACAACTGGTGAAAAATTGATTTTAGGGTATACTTCCCCTTTAAAGGGGGGTGGGGTTCGGGGGGCGTCCCCCGTGAAAAATTTCAAAAAATGAAGCAAAAAATCCTGCATTTTGAGCGAAAAAGTGGGGGGGGGTGGGGTTCCGGGCACCCAGGGACCCATACGGGGCAAGCGCCTGGTGTTTACACGTCTTGTGAATGGCCTATAACACTGGATATGCTTGATTTACATGAAGACCTGGAATGCAAAATCCCTCAAATCATTTTCATTATTTTCGGATAGTGACCATAAAAGAGTTCATGTTGTGTGCAGTCTTTATCTAAATCCATAGTTCTAGTCTAAGATGGTTCTAGTCGGATTTTGAATGTTTAATTTCGCTAGATCTTTTGAGTACTCTGAGCTGAAAATCTGATTTTTTTTTCAAATTTGCTGTCTAACGTGTTTTGCACCTCAGGTCTTTACATATGGATTTGTGAGTGGAAGATTAAGGGCATCCAGGGAAAATTCCTTGGCTCCCCAGCAGCCTGTTTTTGGAATTTTGATATGGCAATTTGTCTCGTTCCATTTCTGTGCTACAGGAGAAGGAGATTGCGGTTACCATCCCTCTACCAAGATACAGTACTTCCCACAGGACTTGACATTTGACGACGCTCTTCTGCGCTGCAGAAGCGTTGAGGGCGACCTGCTATCTGACAGCCAGTGCGCACAGACGTTCCTGAGGAAAATCCATGGCCAGCATGCCGCTGACTTTCCTGCCTGGACGTCCATTGTAGATGAAGGCATGCACGTCGATACAAATGGCGATCACGTTAGCAAGAATGCCAACCCTGTCATCAAACGCAAGCCTATTTGCCGCGTCCCCAAGCAACCAACAACTAAACAAAAGGCTCCATTTGGATGTTAGTTTTATATTTGTGTGGGCCTTTAGGCCTTGTTGGGGTCTATACTTTTCAATAGCCCGAGTTTTGACTTTTCACGTCGCAACAGGACTAGAGGCAAGGGTGTAGGGGTCGTAGAATGTTCATAAGCTATCACGATGGTGATGTCAATTTTGGTCTGGAAGCGTGCACAGCGCTTTGCGTTTTAAAATTCCTTTTACCGACAAATAAGCGACGATCAAGGTCAGCCCCTCATGTCTTTTATGGTGTGACTCCAATCCACTCTAAACCCATTTTTATCCTCAGTGTACACACGATGCATGCTCAATGCATGCTCAGTGCATGCTATCAGCACTCTCTATAAATGTTCATTGCATTCTCAAAGCATGCTCCATCCATGTGCGGTGCATGCTCGATGCAGGATCTGTTTTCTGCTCAGGGTGTTTGCTCAGGGTTCTGTTCTTCTAGAAAGTGGAAATTGCTTGTACAATATCTCGACAATATCTCATGCGACATTTAATTGATTGAATTTAATTCTTCACTCCTGCATTAACACCATCAGTTACTGTAGAAATGTCGTCATCGACATGCATGAATTTCATTGTCATGCATGAATTTCATCGACATGCATGAATTTCATAGTCATGCATGAATTTCATTGTAAAAATGGAGAAGACTACCGACTACTGGCACAATATCCGAAATGAATTTAATCCTGTAAACTCTTCTGCTTTTGACTGTTTCAGATTTGTTCAAGTGCCCGAACTCAACGAAAACAATCATGTTCTTCAAAAAGGACTTCCAGTACTTCACCGGGCGGCGTGTGTGCCAAAACCTAGCCGGTGGCATGGTGGCCCACGGCGATAGCTGCCTTCCTGCTCTGCTGGCGTGGACTAAGAGTTTTCTCGGTGCTCCAACCGTTGCCTGGATATACGGCGGCAGTTCGTCCAGGTACCAGGCGACGACTACGGACGGCAAAGTGCACTCCTTGCTTTCGCCTGTGACGCGATTCAGACTCCTCTGCGAGAAACCTCACGGTAAGCCGGGGCGTCGCTGCTCCACCTTCGGGGGGGGGGGGGGGAGGTGCACGGCCGCCTGTGTGTAGGATGGCTGGTGCATGCTATTCATGGTCATTATGTGCATGCTGGACTTAGGTCGAACTTTTTTGGGTGGGGGGAGGGGGGGGGGGGGAGTGTGTGGGGGAGGGGGTATGCGCCTGGTAAGTGACTAAGATGAGATGGTCTGTCGGCTGAGGTTGATCTGGCGCACTAGCACAGTCAGCTCGTCTAGCCGTTACCAGCAATTCTTCTTGCTTCTGTTTCCATCGACTTTCGATGTTGACCCAAGGAAAAAATCTGTAACAAGTCAATTGTGGGCAAAAGTGTCATGCTGTGTCATGCCGTGTCATGCCGTGTCATGCCGTGTAATGTCTCAGTACTCCTTGTCAGTTTCGTGCTACATTGTGCATGTCTGACTGGTCAACATCTGGTTTAGTTGGTGGCTTCTGTGTCCGTTTTTTATTTTTTTCCTTCATTACTGTGAAGGTAGAAATATGTAAGATGTAAATATATGAAGTAGGAAAGTAGACATTTCAAGTGGTGATGGATCGTCTCATTTAGGTGGCTTGTACTATTGTGTTCTTGGATGTGTGCACGCGTGCGTGTGTGTGTATGTGTGTGTTTGTGCATATCGCTAGGTTGCGGGTTCGATTCCCGAAGAATATGGTCACACACATCTTTCTTCTCTTTCTCACACTCTTCCTGGCTTTTCTTTCATTCTCCTGGGTGGTTACCAACAGCCAGTGCATGCCGGAGTATGTGGTGTGATGTGTGTGTGGGAAAAATAGACGAAAAGACCGAAAAGTAGGGATTCACTGGCCAGAAAAAGCCACTTCATAGCTGTGTGGTGTAGACCAGGCGGAATAGTGGCGGTCAATTCTTCAGCCTTGCAAGCTGATGAATGGTGCAATCCCAGCACAATTTGCTATGGCTTCTGCTATAGCATCGCTATCATCGCCTCCGGCGATGGGCATCCAATGGTCCAATGGTATTTGTGCATGAGTGACTGTGTGTGTATCTGTGTGTGTGTGTGTGTGTGTGTGTCTGTGTCTGTGTGTGTGTGTGTGTGTGCGTGTGTCGGTGTCTGTCTGTGTCTTTGTCTGTGTGTTTGTGTGTGTGCAAGCATGTGTGTGTGTGTGTGTGCGTGTGTGTGTGTGTGTGTGTGTGTGCGTGTGTGTGTGTGCGTGTGCGTGTGTGTGTGTGCGTGTGTGTGTGTGTGTGTGTGCGTGCGTGTGTGTGTGTGTGTGTGTGTGTGTGTGTGTGTGTGTGTGTGTGTGTGTGCGTGCTTGTGTGTGTGTGTGTGTGTGTGTGTATGTGTGTGTGTGTGTGTGTGTGTGTGTATGTGTGTGTTGCACGCATTTGCATGTGTACGTGCCCTTGTGTGTGTGTATGTGTATATGTGTGTGCACGTGGTCATCTGTCTGCTTTCCCCCTTGTACTTCACAGAGAAGTTTAGATGTCCTACCTTCCAGACAGTAGATATTCAGTATCTTCCGATGAGGGTCACATACAGTGAAGCAATATCTCACTGCCGCTCACTAGGTGGTAGGATTCCACGGAAAACGCGATGCGTCCAAGGATTCTTGAAGACCGCCGGCAAACAGATCACGCCCGTGGCCTGGCTGTGGCACTGGAAGGGAGCAGGCCGATACGCTAGCGACGAAAAGCTATACGACCTAACAGCTCACCCAGCTCCAACAAACGAAGTTGTCTGCGAATTTGCTTCGGGTAAGTAATCTGGCAGGAAAATTCTGACGAAATTAATGACTCGGAGGGTGAGCCAATATAGTTAGGATGAAGAAAGGAAAAGGACAAAATGTTACGAGTTATGATTAACTGTCCACCAACGTAACCAGATCATATACAGTCAGCGAGTGCGACAAAATTGCACAAAACTCCTTCCTCTCTTGGACTTTTCCAAATCTGAACCTTCCAAGTTAGAAGGTTGCTGGTTCGCGCCTCGGACAAGTGTTGGAGCTACATGTCAGGTTGTTGAATGTCTCAGTACTCCTTGTCAGGTTTGTGCCATTTTGTCGCAATCGCTGACTATCCACCATACTCGCATCACATGCACGACACTCCATTGGTCGACCTCTCCCTCTCTTCACCTTGTCAACTCGTCAACACCGGAAGCGGAAGACAGGAGCATGTCCATAATTGAAGAGTTGCTCGAGAGAAATGACTATCCACGCACCGAGATAAACGCTGCACGACGAGCAGCCAAGGGGAAGAGACAAGATACACACCCATCTCAACAACAGCAGCGTTACAGCAAGCGCAGACACAACCAATTCAAGTCAGCCATCAAACTGCCCTTCATCAACGACTCACTTGCCGCTCGTGTCTCACGACGTGTTCGAAAGTTCAGTCCGCATGTTCGTGTTGTCTTTGTGTCTGGTCCTTCTTTGAAGGATATGTTGGCCCGATCGTCGAGTGCTGTACCTGTGTGTCCCCGTGAGAAGCAGCGATCGGAGGTGAAGAGAGGGAGAGGTCGACCAATGGAGTGTCGTGCATGTGATGCGCGTATGGCGGATAGTCATTGTTTAGTCAAAGGTGTTGTCTATTATATGTCTTGCACGTTGTGTGCGGAATTGTTCGTTGGTGAGACCGAGCGGCCGGTGAGGGACCGATTCGCTGAGCGCTACCGAGAGGCAAAGGCGATGGTGGCGAAGGCTCCCTGGGGCTTCCACTATCGTACCCTGCATCGAGAATCTTCAAAGTCTTCCAACTTTCTGCCCTTCCACCAGGCAAAGATTCTCGGCAGGGAGGCTTCGCTACCATCAAGGAAACTGCTTGAAGCTATGGAGATAAGGTAGCGCAAACCAGCAGTCAATTGCGATGACGGCTGGCGCCTAATTGACTGATTGGATGTCACCGGATCGTCACTGGAATCGACACCCATCTCCTCGAACTACCACTGGACTTTACCACCTGACACAGCACATACACATACTTTGCACATACACCGCTGTCATATACATAGATCGCCTTTAGCATTCCCACACTTGAAAGTGTTCTTGTACGTGCTGTGATAGTCTTACTAGTCTTCTTTCTTCTGTTTAGGTCACCTTACAGGTGATGATTGTAAACTTTAGTGTTAGTGTTAGTATTAGTTTTCTTGCCAAATTGTGTCTGTGTGTATGTGTGAGTTTTCTCATCATTCATTTTGTTTAGGTCACCTTACAAGTGATGATTGTTTAGTTCGCTGGCCTTGCCAATTGTGTCACCACGATGTGTTAGTTCTAGAACATTCATCTGCCTCCATTATTCGTCTTTATAATTATTTCGTAATTTGGCCTCCCCTTCCTCAATGCCCAATGGGCGAAATATTGGCAAAGTTATTTATTTGGTGCAGCCGAGAGCCTGTTGCCGGAATGGCAGTGTTTTCAAGTGCAAGGAATACGCTGCAATGGAGTTTGGGAATTCTGAAGAAATTGATGACATCGCAATTTTAAATTATTAGCACGAAAACTGCCAAGTTTCATGTTAGATCTTCTCACCGCAGAGAGACATCTCATCAGCTGGAGTCTTCATCCAAGACCTTGATCTTTGCTTGTGTTCGCACTGAGCTCTCTCGGCGATCCAAGGACGCTTTGTTTGTGTATTCTTGGTATCGATGTGCAGCATTATGAGGGCTGCTTTCTCCGAAAAGTGGCGGACGAACTTGGCTTCCGAGCATGCCATTATTCTCTTATCCCGCCGAACATCATGGCTCAAATCTTTGATTTGAGAATCAATTGTGTCTTCAGACTTCTCCCGTTACAACTCCCTGAACCTGTTACTGTGAAACGGCTAATTTTAGCAACGGTGATATTTTAGCGACTTTGGCGAAAGGGGTGTTTTCGTTAATGTGTCGCCGCGCCAATCGAGCATTTAAATGTTCAGTACACCAATGCAACATCCTTCTGAAACTCAGTTTGCTAACAGAGTTCATCGTGAATTGGTCCAGATCCCCGAAAACGCTAAAAAATGTACCCACAAAAATTATCCTTCCGCAGTACTGCATTGGCTACTAGCACCGCTTGTAAGATCGTGCTTGTGGGAATGTGGCCATCACAGGATCTGCGACTGGGTATGCTTTTAGAGTGCCTGTGGAAAAACTGAAGCCCCAGAGAAAAATTTCGTCGAGCCACCAGCAATGGTGTACTACAGTCCATTCATTGGAAACACACCAATTTGGGCCGAATTGAGGATCAAAAGCCCACGTTAAACCCCAAAACCTGAATTTGGGATCTGCTTCTCCATGCATTTTCCCATGGCATACCTGTCCAAATTTTGCTGAAACCTGGCTGAATTTCTATTTCCCGGTTCTTGGACTTTGTTGGCCTCAAATATGGCAAGGAATAATTGCACAGGTCACACAATTGAGGATGTACTCTTGTTTTCACGATATCTACAACCATGCGTGTAGGAGACACCAAAACACTACTTGCCAGTATCTAATGAATTGACTGTAAATATTTTGCTCCTTTCTTCCCTTTGCTGATTGGGTTTGGTAACAGGTGCAGAATGCGAATCACTTCACGAAAAGATGCGGTACTTCCCAGTGGCTCTGACTCATCCAGACGCTACTTTGCACTGCGCAAAGATTGGTGCAGAGCTGACGTGGTCGACAGCGTGTGCCAGATCGCTTTTGAGCAAGACCAACGGCGATCGGTCGTCTGCTTCTGCCTGGACGTCCATGAAGGATCGCGCGAATGCCAAACGCTTCCTTGATACCAACGGCCATCCTGTCCATCTGGCACACAAGCGGCAGGTCGTTTGCGAGTTCCTTGAGTCTCCAGCCGAGCCCAACCTGACCAATGTAAAAACAGGTGAGCATCCTTGCTTGTTTGTAATCTTTCCTCTCACGATGGCCTGTGGCCACTACGAGATAGGAGAGTGATGTTTACATCACGGAGAGGGTTTTGAATGCACGGCGAAGGAAAGTTCATGCTAGCAGTGGGCAGACTAGGCATACAGGTGAACATGACTCGTGCATGAGATGATTGAGTTTAGCAGCGGGCTCTTTTTGCGAGCCGTTTTGTCTTGTTGCCGTGCAGTCCTTTTCTGGCGGAAATCATTCTGCTGGACAGCTTGCAGGCGCGTGCGCCGGTGCCCTTCAAGGGGGGCCGTCCCCCGGGAAAAAATTTCAAAAATGAAGCAAAATCCTGCATTTTGAGTGGAAAAAGGGGGGGGGGGGTCCGGACACGCAGAAACCCATACGGGGCACCCGCCTGGCTTGTTATCAGCAAAGTAGTGCTGCTAGTAGGCAATTTTGAAACTGCGAGAAAGCCAGTCATTTCTTGTACCTGCCACTCTTTCTCCTTTTTCTTCTTCTTTCTTTTCGGTGCGTTTTATGCTCCCGTGACGTCGAGACCTCAGGTCGGCTAAGGGCAAAAAGCCTCACCATCACTATGCTCTCACTGTGTGCATTTTTTTGTCTTTGCCTGGGAGCTGTGATCATTGTACAAAGAATTCAACATACAGAATATGGTAGTGCACGTAGCAAAATGCCATTTGTACGTTACCCTTTCCTCTGCGACGGAATTGCAATAACGCTGAGCAAAAGGCCGCACTTCAAGCTCTTCAACATTATCTTCAACGTTTTCACTAGTATGCTTTCGATCGTTACCATCTGGCTTACTTATGTAAGCAAAGGTAGATAAAATTAACACTTAGTCTGTAAGGTAGGCCTTCACCAACTCCTTAGTTATGTCCATTTATTACTTATCGCTGTTCTCACACTTTACCATTTTAGCAGCTTGCATATGCCATTGATATTATGTGGAAAGCGCGCATTTGCGCCATTCCTGGTGTATAAGAATGATCATTCCTCCATTATCATCATTATCATCCTCTACTGATGAGCTCCGACAGGGAGCGAAACAGCTGTCTAGAGGCGTGGAGCAATATTATCTCTCAACGGAAGTGTGCTTGCTGGTGTCTGTATGCTTCGGCTGAAGAGCGCGTGGTTGTGATGAGTTGGGAATGCAATGAATTGAAAATATGGCCGAAAGCTCTGTCGCAATATTTAGTTCATTTATTACTAATATTATTTATTCATATTTTAGCAGGGCAGTCCCCACAGACTCAAGGTCTTTGTTGTTTAGGTTTGGCGCACTACCCTTCACGCTAGTTAGGTCTCATCACACTTGTACCCTTTCTTTCCATGTGTATGGCTCACACATTCTTTGTTGCTATTTGAGCTCTTATTTCTTGCACTTTTTCCATCGCCCCTATACTATACCTTTAAAATGCCTTGCCTGCTTGTTCATTTGATTTTGCTGGTTTTTCAACTGATGATAACTTGTAGGGGTCAAACGGGTGTACCTTTAAAAAGGGAACGGGTGATTTTCTTAACGGGCGGGTTAACGGGTACCTTTAGCAGCCATGTTTAATTTTTGCGCAATTTTCACATACCGTATTTTTCCGGTTGTAAGTCGACCTTTTACGACTTAAAATAGAAGGAGAAAGGGTGGGGGTCGACTTACAACCGGGATTCGACTTATAACCGGGAAATATCAGAATCTTACAAAAAATGACCTGAACTGCATGCACGAGTGCACTATGTGTACACATTTTTCCAGTTTATTGGTCTTTTGAAGGATTGGGATGTTATAACCTCCAACAAGGAATGTTTACATTATTTGTTGATGTGTTAATAGCAGGGAGGGGTTTGTAGTGCTTCTTTGGGTGAAACGCAGAATTGAGACCTCCGGATACGGGGGTCGACCTATAACCGGGGTCGACTTACAACCGGTAAAATACGGTAAATCAACATTTTAATTCATCTGTTCTCGGGTGGCATTTTGATATCACATTGTGAATCGAAAATCGATTGGTGTCTGATAGTCGCAGGAGTAGATCTACTAGGTGCGAAAATGCAACAACAATGCAGACATCCAGCGTGGAGTTGTAAATAGTTGTCTCCCGCCTGGAAAACACGATCCCAGCAGTGTTGCTCCGTACCGACGGGTTCATCAAAATCCATACGGGTGCCCTTTTACATGTAGTAACGGTACCTGAGATTAACGGCCGGGTACCCGGGTACCCGGTACACCCCTTCGACCCGTAATCATAAGGCTTGCAAGCATGTCAGTGAAAACTTTCGAGGTGATGTTGAAGAGCCTGAAGTTTGTCCTTTTTCAGTGTTATTGTTTTTTTTGGACAGACAATAATCTGGTAGCTGAGCAATTACCTTTCGATTTTGGTACTAGCCTCCTTAACTATGTTGCTGTTGGTTGTCTTCTGTTTCAGAGGAGTTTAAATGCTCAAGGTCGTCACGAAATTATAAGTTGTTCAACGTCGACGTGCCATACTTCATGGCAGAGAGAGTGTGTGCAGACGCCCATGGTGGAATAGCAAAAAGCACTGATGCCTGCCTGGTGACCTTTCTCCGTCATATCCAGCAGAAACGTGGGCCGGTTGTTGCCTGGAAGGACGGGGGAGCGTCGTCGAAATACACACGGAAAACAACAGACAATGCCGAGCATTCTTTGGTCAGCAAGCCAGCAACCACCTCGAAGGTTATCTGCTACATAATTCATAGTAAGTCTATGTAGTGGAAAAAGGATAATACTTCAACCTTCGCCAAAGTAATGCATGTTGCGGCTCGTAATATATTTATAATTATTCTGTAGCACAACTTGAAATGCATGCCTCCACTGTGACCTGGAACTCTACATGCTGAAGTAGTTATTTGACCCCGGAGTGGGAGTGGGGCTTTAGTCACTACTGTACATTTGTCATTTGCCTGAGTACATTCTCCCCCCCCCCCCCGATTTCCGATGCCTACAGTCCAATCACTGGAAACTGGCGCCCTAACTTTTTGGTGTCTCCCGCACATACCGTAAAATCCCGCCAGAGCGCCCCTACCTCCTCGACGCTTCAGGTGGGGAGGGGCGGATGGGCGAGTCCTACTTGCTGCATTTAGTGCTACATGAAAAAGTACTCGCCCTACGAAAACTGTTCAAGCATCTCGTACACCGACCAAAGGTCAAGAGCCAGGAGTCGTACAGACCTGTCAAAACTCGGGGTTTGTGCGATCCTTGGTCAAGAGGGTGGGCACTGTTGCTTACATTTTCAACGGGGTCGAGCATGCGCACTGCAGTACAGTACGACATCACCGACTGTGACAGAGTCATACGAGGATACAATCAAACACGTCCCCGTCAGGCGAAATTACTGGTCAGTCGGCGACACGCATTTTTCACAAAAATTTGCGTTTCACCTGCTGGGAGAGTATGCATGTACAGTAGATATTGGTTATAACGTGCCCTTCTGATTTTTCACATTTTATCACTATAACCGGTATATCACTACAGGCGATTTTCAACTGCACTCGTCCTACATACACATTATACACGTGTGGGTACTCGATCGCGGCAATGTAGCGTACTGATACATGATGGATGCTACTGCACCTTCTCCAGTCTAGAGTGAAGAACTTCTTGGCCCAAAGGCATCATCCAGGAAGCACCAGACCAGAATACCCTATGACAACACACATGTGGCTCCAAGTCGAGACATCAATGCCTCACATTCGTGTGTTGCTATCACTATAGACGATACTTTTTCTGCACAAAGAGGTGTTTTGAATGGTGATTCTGTATCCTTATAGCCGATTTATCGCTATATACGATATATTGGTTATAATGATAATTTGACTGGCTTTTTTCTGGTTTTGCTTTTGATATTTTCATTTTGTATCAATATAGCCGGTTTATCACTATGTCCGATGACTTTATAACCGATATCCACTGTACTCGAGTATCATCCTGAGCACGTTTTTTTCTTCATTTTTTCAGCTCCAGTATCGCTGTATTTTTCATTGCAAAGCCGTCCTCGATTGTTGTGTTCGTTGTTCAAACGAAGTGGACATTCAATCATGAAGGCAGAGGACATAGGAGCCTGATTGGAGTTTCTCCTGGCATAGGACGGCCACACAGAGACACTTTGGGATTTTCTGAATATAAAATACCATACGCACGATGCTGAGATCAATTTGTGCGATATCAAATTGTTTGTGATCTACCACATCGAGCAGAACGGGATCCAAACACAAGCTTACCGACGGTTAGGCTGGCGACCTGACTGGACAAATGATCCCTGGCTTCACCAGACGCCAGAAGTCGGACACCATGTCCTTTGCCGCGACGTCCATCTCCAAAAAGAACTCCATCTTCGTCGTGAAAAGGCTTGAAATACTCAATATTCAACCGAGATTCGCGGTCTCACCCTTTCTCAGATCGAATCATTTTTTGTTGTAGCGGTTGCAGGGCAGATCCCCACCACTACTTCAACAGAAGATGGCTCCAAAGCATGCCTGGAACAAGCCATATCGAGGTTGCAAGCCACCCCTCTCAGCCCTTTTTTGAAGAAATTCGAAATTTCAATGTGGAAGATATACTATGAAGAGAATTTCAAAAAGTATGTTTCGCGGAGCGATCGCTCAACCTACGTCATTCAAACTTTGCAGGATGGTTCAGACGTACATGCTAGGCATGGAACCACAGAAGATGATATCATAGCTGACACACAGTGTCACACACACAGCAGATTCGTGTGCACAGATACTAAATTAGTGGACGTCGTCATCTTCTTCCCGCTGATCTCAAATGTACTATGACGTGCTATTTTGCCTGACGTGACAAGAAGTCAGGGAGGGGCGGATAGGAGAGACGGGGCGCTCTGGCGGGATTTTACGGTAGTTGTAGATATCGTGAAAACAACAGTACATCCTGCATTGTGTGACCCGTGCATTTACTCCTAGCCACATTTGAGGACAGAAAAGTCCAAGAACATCTCCGTAGCGCTAACTGACAGCCGATAAATATCGTACTGGTCTCGTCATCGTCCAGTAACAATCGACATTCTTTGTTCCGTTGGGACTGTAGCTTTTGCTCGTTTTCGTTGCGCTTGCCTTCCCCTCTTTGGTCTTTCCATAACCTTAAACCTTCCAAGTTGGAAGCCTGTTGGTTAGCGCTACGGAGATGTGTTGAAGCTAGGTGTCAGGACGTCGAATGTCTCAGTACTCTTGTCAGTTGTGTGCCTAGTTTTTGCACTTTCTGACTGTTTATTACAGGGGACACGATAAGATTTCGAAATTGCTCTGACACAATGTCCTGCCACTTTTGGAACCGGTCGGACATGGCCGGACACTCTGATTTTTTTACAAGTCTGGTACTCATAATAAAAAATGAGAGAGCTTGGAAGCTCAGGGCCCTACGCTTTGCTTTTTTGCCTTGATGACCTAGACAAAAAAACGCATAGGGGTGTTATAAATTCTTTAAAAAAATCCTTTTTTTTTAAGACATAACCTGGGATCCGAACCCGCACAATCGCGCGCCCTGCATGCACCCCCGATACACTTCGCATACATACTAATTCTTCCAAGTAAAGTTGTTTCACAATGTGATCTTGCATTTGAAAGCCCTATTTGAATATGCATTGTGGCCAGCCGTCTTTGATGGCACGGTACGGTAGGGGATAGGTACGGGACAGGTACGATCGAGGGTAATACGACACCGTCTCCCGTACCGTCCGTACCATCAAACACAGCTGGCCACATCCAGTTGCCCGCAATATTCAAATAGGGCTTTCAAACGCAAGATAATAACGTGAAGCAACTTGGAAGAATGGGTATGAATGCGAAGTGTATGGGGGAATGCATGTAGGGCGATAGTGCGGGTTCGAATGCCTGAAAAAATAGGAGAATTGAAAAATTTATAACATCCTATGCTTTGTTGCCGTCAGATACGGATAGCGCCAGGCGTGACACAAATAAACACACAAATACCAAATTAAAGCTGTGTGGACCCTGGCTAGCGCCAGACGTTACTGAAGTAACGTCTTCTGCATAGCTACGGGAATAATTATTATTGTCTTCACCAATTTCACACACGACACCACGCACAATGCACACAGGCATGTACATGCTACATCACACTGTAGTATTGCTGGTCACATCAAGGACGATCATCACACAGATCTCAAGTATTGTAACACTGATTCAAATCGCTATGCGTTTTTCAGCAAGCATAGTAACTGTGATACGAGCGTGCAGTGTTTCTGTACATTTCGGATTTGACCTGGTTTTTCAGCGGCAGATCAAAGACATTCATTTTGATGTACAGTGGATATCGGTTATAAAGTCATCGGACATAGTGATAAACCGGCTATATTGATACAAAATGAAAATATCAAAAGCAAAACCAGAAAAAAGCCAGTCAAATTATCATTATAACCAATATATCGTATATAGCGATAAATCGGCTATAAGGATACAGAATCACCATTCAAAACACCTCTTTGTGCAGAAAAAGTATCGTCTATAGTGATAGCAACACACGAATGTGAGGCATTGATGTCTCGACTTGGAGCCACATGTGTGTTGTCATAGGGTATTCTGGTCTGGTGCTTCCTGGATGATGCCTTTGGGCCAAGAAGTTCTTCACTCTAGACTGGAGAAGGTGCAGTAGCATCCATCATGTATCAGTACGCTACATTGCCGCGATCGAGTACCCACACGTGTATAATGTGTATGTAGGACGAGTGCAGTTGAAAATCGCCTGTAGTGATATACCGGTTATAGTGATAAAATGTGAAAAATCAGAAGGGCACGTTATAACCAATATCTACTGTAGTTGACAAAAGACAAAGTGAGCATCTGCTTGCCCATTCTAACATCTTGTTGCCAGCTCCAAGATCGACAACATGTCACTACTCAAGTTGGCTGAAGGCTCCCATCTTTGCAAACGCGATGTGCTCTTTGAACAGCACGTAGTTTCTACGCGACGTTGAATTTCTGACTAAAGCTGTGTTCACAACTGGCGCATGGACGCGGTACGCTTGCGGTTCATGCGCCCCCAAACGCGCGCTCAGCCTTTCACAAAAAACAGCAATCCGAGTCGTATTTAGCTCGGGCAACACCTTCGAGTACTAATTTTTTGACCCCGCCTTTCAAAGTGACTGGCATGTACGCTGATACGTGCCTGATACGCGCTGAAAATTCCAACATGTTGGAAGTTCCATTTCGGCGCGTTTCCGTACACATGGCGCCCCAAAAGCCAGCAAAAATACGCACAAACGCGAGGTTTCACGTGTACACGCGCCAGTTGTGAACACAGCTTTACCTTCGCTGCTGCTGCTCCGTCGATCTTGCACAGCGCCTGTGCAACAGGAGCGCAGTTGACTGGATTTGCAGAAGACTGCTCCTTTTGATAGAGGCATATCGCAAGCTGGCACACATTTCTGATGCCTTGTTCCCCAGGAACAGGAACGTTTGCAATATTTCAGGGAATAGTTTGTATTGTAGCGAGAAAGCGAAGAAATTTCATTTCAAAACTCCCCGATCGTTTGCGACGCTCAAACTGGAGCTGTACTGAAGTGGACAGCTCCCTGTCTTGCTGTAAAACCCTCTTGTCACATGTTGCTGCTCCGACTTCGTGATACTTCTTCCCAGGCAGAGCGCCATTGTCCTCAGCCGTCCTCTTTCCCAGCGACGCTATTTTGTAAATTTCGATCGGACAGATTGTCCGTTCAAGAAAAAAAGCGCCGGATTCGAATCGAAAATGGTCGGAAAATGTCCGATGTCCGACCGTTATCGTGTCCCCTCATATAGTATCCAGTTACAGTGATGGAGAGTTACTCTTAACTTGTATCCTTATGTCCTTTTCCTTTCTATATTTATTTATGGCTCAACATCCGAGTTTCAAATATATTTTATTCCAAGCAATACATGGCTGGGGTAGCCAATGACCACTTTGCGTAGCAATTCCGGGGTTTTTATAGCCAACCACGGCAACTCTGTCCCTACTACATCCTCTGTGTCTTGGTCTTGTTGTTGTTCTCCACCTGTCTTCTACTTTTCTTTCCGTGGAATGTCTCAGCACACCGGATCACTCTGGTGCTACCTTGTGCACGTCTGACTGTTCACTACCTGGGTTCTGTTTTGGGTGTATCGCACAGCAACCATCCAGGTCCGACAACAACAGAACTACACACACCGAAAAGGCTTCTACTTCATTTCGTGCAAACAAACTCCTAACTCCCGAAAACCAGAACAAGCATGATCAGTTCCTCGCATGCGTACCTGAGGGGCCCGCATGCTCGGAGTGTAAAGACCACATGGCGGGCGTGAACACGTGTCGCAACGGCACGTGCATGCATACAAGTAAAGTGTTCATACTACAGTTTTCGTTGGTGGACTCTAACGCATAACTTGTGCCCCGCCTGCACCGTTTTTCTTGTTTAAAGAAAATATGTTTGCACTTGTCTGTTGCGTTGCAGCTCATGAATGCGAAGCAAGTTGGAGCAAAATGCACTACTATCCAACTCCGTTGTCACTTGCCAAAGCTACTCTACAATGTACTATGGTTGGTGGAAAGGTCACCAAGTCTAACATCTGTGCAGCGTGGTTTTTGACCAGAGTCCAGGGGAGGCGTTCCACGACGGGTGCCTGGACGGCGCTGACGGATGGTGTCACGCCGCTGGACACGAATGGCGTTCTGGTCAATGCGGCCAAGCCGGCGGTCGCACGCGAGACCATCTGCGAGCTATCTCAGCCAGACCCAGTGCTTCTCCCTGCAGCCGGTGAGTTTCCAAGAGCCGTACTGCCTTGTTGCCATCTTGTTGCCGTACTTTCTGTAAATGCACCTGCAACGCGTAGTTTCTCCCCTTTTACGGAAGGGGGGAGGGGGAGTAGCATGGCCGCATATGTGTAGAATGGCTAGTGCATGTCGTTCACGGTCGCCATGTGCATGTGGAACCTATGTCGAAATTTTAGGGGAGTGCACAAAAAACATATGTACTTTCCCATTCCCCTCCTGGTGCTGCGGTGTTAAGTCAGTGTGACATTTGCACGGTGTTCGTTTTTCTCCTGCTTTTATTTTAGTTTAAATCGTGTGACTGCTTGGGGTTTTCTGCTGTTGCCAGAGGAGTACCAATGTCCAATGTCGGGCCAGCGGTTGGTGTTTTATGACGTGGGCGTGCCGTACGGTGGTGCCGAGCGCGTGTGTGCACGCGTCCACGGCGGCATAGCGGCCAGCAGCGATCCGTGCCTGTTGCTCTTCTTGCACGAGATCAAGTCGAGGAGGGCCGCAGTCGTCACCTGGATGGCCGACCCGGCGGCAGCCGCTGGATTCACGCGGAGGACGACGGACAAGGCGGTGCACGATGTGCGCCACCATCCAGCACCTCTCTTCAAGGTGATCTGCGAGATGCCCCATGGTAAGTGTGAGCCTGTGAAATGCATGATAAAAAATATCCTGGGGGGCATGCGTGAGTGTGTGCGGTTATGCGTGTTTGTTTGATTGTATGTGTATGTAGTGTGCGTGGGTGTTTGTGTGTGTGCGGATGTCCGTGCTTGTGCGGGAGTGTGGAGAGAGGGCTATGTATGCCGGGGAGAGTGTTTGTGCATGCTTTGTTGTTTTATTGTGTGTATTTGGCCGCGTATGCTCGTTTTGCCTGAGTATGTGTGTGTGTGAGTACCCAGTTGACCGTGGGTGTCGGCGCAGTTCAACACGCGTAAAGAGTCTTTTTACACGCTCCCTGCTACCAGCGCGGGTCTTGAACTCGGGACCTCATGATTCGCAGGCAGGCCTGCAAACCAATCGGCCATATGCGTTGGCGGGAGTGAGAATAACAAGGATGCAGTTTACAGGGTTATGGGCCGTTACACGCCCGATTGGTTGAGAGACTAACCTCCTCTCCCCTGACTCTCTTGTGAGGTCTGCATTCGCCACTAAGGTTAACAGGCATAGTGGTGGCCTGCGGATGCGAAGGCTAGTTTGTGTGTTTCTGGACATTCAAGCGATGCCAACGCGGATCCCGCGCAGTGCGAGAGCCAGCTGTCATGACGTCAGTACATGCAGACCATGCATGGCATCATGCACGCGTGTCATGCGCACAAGTACATGAACGTCGAAGTACAGGTGAGCCGGCCGTAGCGTCAGGTCCGTACAATCATTGCGCGCTTGATCCTTTTTGGGTACTCGTAGTCGTACATAGTCAATACATTCACTGCACTAGTCAGCGTAGCCGGAAAATGTAACAACCGGAAAGCTTCATTACTATAAGGTTGTAGCGAAACTGTGAGGGTGGCTGCCGGCCTTCTAATTTGTTCAGTTCTTGTCAAAAACTTACAGTTGGTGTTTGATTTTTTGGCGAGGAGAGCAGTGACAATCCTGCCGCCTGGAAAAGCGAAAATTAGTCTGACCAAGAGATCGCCAGCTTGGGCATATTTCGAGGAAGCTGATAGCGTAGCGAGATGCAATTCGTGCAGCCGCGAGTTCGTCCGTCAAAGCAGCACAACCAACTTGTTCCAGCACCTGATTTCTGCTCACAAAGACCAGTACGCCGCTGCGGTAGGGAAAGGACCAGCAACCCAGTCGACAGCAACGGCGACTACCAGCAATGTTGAGCGCAGTGACAATGCGACGAACAGTGCTGGAATGAAGCTCGTCACGTCGTTCTTCGGCACAGGTAACTTGCGAACGTGCGACAGCAGGCGCTCAGGCATGTTGACGGAGTCGATCATCGACTGGATTGTCGATTTCAGTCGACCCTTCTCCATTGTAGAAGACAGACGACTGATCGTTGATGTTTAATGGCAGAGGAACACTGCTCATATCACGTCGCAAATTTTATTTTGGTCTTTTTTGGGCCTGTGTGGATCGTTCACCCATACGTACCTATAATTATAGTTGAACAAATTTTATTTTTTTTGCCGTATACTGATGTCCAACATGACACGTATAAAACTTGTTCGGAAAATCGGTAAAACCAATAAATCGATCGTTAGTGTTATTGGGCAATCGTTTCGGCCCTAATTATTTATGTGTGTGTGTGTGTGTGTGTGTGTGTGTGTGTGTGTGTGTGTGTGTGTGTGTGTGTGTGTGTGTGTGTATGTGTGAATCTGTGCATGTATGCATGCGTGGATGTGCGCTTTTGTGCGTATGCATGCTTCTCCGACGTGTTGCAGATGAATTCAGATGTCCTATCATACAGACCATACATCTCAAATACTACCCGCTGGCCATGACGCTGCCGGAGGCGAAGCAACACTGCCGAAACGTCAACGCCCGGATTCCGCAGCGAACGCACTGCGTGCAGGACTTCCTGAAGAGCAGGGCCAAGCCGCACACACCCGTCTGGTTAGCGTGGATGCGTGGAGCGAGCCACTATGCCAGCGATCTTAAGCTCTACAACACAGGAGCCAGCCCGGCGCCTAAGCTCCAAGTCATCTGTGAATTTTCTGCCGGTGAGTACCCGATCTGGACATATCATGTAATAAAAACTCGGATGTTGAGCCAACAGTATTACACTGAAAACCTGTCCAGGATGATCGTTCAAGGGACCTTGAAACCGTGGTCTCCGTTACCAGGTGGTCTCCTTATCCAGGGTCATTTGTCTGGAAATAGGATCGCTTGGTCCTGGTTTCGGTGGTCTTTTAGGACAGGTGGTAGCCTTATCCGAGTGATCGCCTTGACAGGTTTTACTCTAAAGTGTGGTACTTTTGTAGTACTGTAACTTGTAGTATTTTCTCTTTACATACAGTAAAACCTGTAAAATCCTGTAAAATCCTGTAAAAACCTGTAAAAACCTGTAAAATCCTGTAAAATCCTGTAAAATCCTGTAAAAACCTGTTAGCACCATATCCCTCACACACTCATACTCAGCCCAAGGCAACAAGGAATTGTTTTGGAGATAGTGTGCTGCTTCGAGCAACTGGTCTTGTAATGCAAAAGCTCGAAGAGCTGGAAAGCAATGCCAGGCCACTGGCAGCAACTGGCTCGCGAGGAGCCGCAATAAACCCACATTGTGCCACAATGGGGTTGCAAGGCAAAGCCAATGTAATTGGCAACAACTGGCTCGTGAAGAGCCGCAACTAGCGAAGCAAGTGACCAGTTAGGAGCGATAGAGCTAAATGTTCCCTAGTACCATTAGCAAGATGATAAGATGGGAGGGATGGAGGGTGAAAATTTGATGCTGGCACAAGCTAAAAGTCACCGCTAATTAGACTAGTCTTTGAAGTGAAGCCAACAGCAAGAAAGACAGAGAAAGTTCAAAGGAAGCAGTTGTACGACGTCAGGCTAAGCGCGCCCGAATCCATGCGCTGGCAGTGTGAGTGCAGTGAGCAAAAGTTCAAAGGAAGCAGTTGTGTGACGTCAGGCTAAGCGTGCCCAAGTCTATGCGCTGACAGTGTGAGTGCAGTGCACAATGCACTGATGCAGTAGTGCGCAGCAGATGCAAACATGGCAGTGTGATCGGTGGATGCTAACACACACTAACTACATTACTGCGACATAAAATCCTGTGAGTCCGCGCGTGCCCCGGGCCTAGCCTAGCTGGCCCCGGCGCCCTGCCATTTATTTTTCGAAAACTAGGTCGAAACTTATGAGGGGGGTGGGGGGGGGGCGCCCCCCCCCCCCCCCCCGCGCTGAACACAGGCAATGTCTGAACTATGTACATGAATGTCAGGAACTACATATGCAATGAAATCCCGCCAGAGCGCCCCTACCTCCTCGACGCTTCGGGTGGGGAGGGGCGGATGGGCGAGTCCTACTTGCCGCATTCAGTGCTACATGAAAAAGTACTCACCCTACGAAAACTGTTCGTGCATCTCGTACACCGACCAAAGGTCAAGAGCCACGAGTCGTACAGACCCGTCAAAACTCAGGGTTTGTGTGATCCCTGGTCAAGAGGGTGCACCGGTGGGCACTGTTGCGTACATTTCCGAAGGGGTCGAGCACAAGTCTGCATGTACAGTACGGCATCACAGACTGCGACAGAGTCATACGAGAAATCACGTCCCTGACAAGAAGTCAGGGAGGGGCGGATAGGAGAGACGGGGCGCTCTGGCGGGATTTTACGGTACATGTTATGACTGTGCAGTTATGCACTCTTGGATATTGACCCCTGGCTGTGTGTGTGTGTGTGTGTGTGTGTGTGTGTGTGTGTGTGCGTCCGCGTGTGTGTGTGTGTGTGTGTGTGTGTGCGTGCGCGCGTGCATGCATGCGTGTGTGTGATTGTGTGCGTGTGCGTGCGTACGTGTGCGTGCATTGTGTGCGCGCATTGGGGGGGGGGGGTCTGGTGCTGTGCTCTTCCCGTTGTGCAGAGAGCTTCCGCACGTGCCTGAAGACTAGATCGCAGATCGGACTGTACGCCAACAAAGCGACGGTTGAGCAGGCCAAGATACAGTGCAGCCGCTTAGGTGGACGGTTGCCCACCGGAGGAGAGGAAGCCAAGTGTATCGACCAATTGATGGCCGGTGTAAAAGCCGGATCCCCGGCAAAGAACTCCAAACCATGGATATTGAGTAACGATGGAGAACTCTTTGGCCCTTCAGGCGTGTACACTCTCTACGAAACAGACAAGCGACACGATTCTGCCAAAGAAGATACCTTTCAAACTGTGGCGTGTGCCTTCAATTTCAGTAAGTGGTAAAAGTTAATAAAAAAATGCTAAATCCATTTGTTTAATCCGTGTCATTATTTTTTGGACAATGGCCATTAGCAATTCATTTTATTTGGGATTTGTATCAAAATCCATATTTTGTGTTCAAGTTGTGAAGTGGTTTTGGTCAGATTTTGAATGTGAAACTTTGTCTGTTGGCGGCCCCTATGATTACAATGTGCTGATTTTCTCAAATTTGGCGCTTGTCGGGTTTTGCATCCCAGCCCTTCACCATTCGTAGGGATGTGCATGGGTAGTCGGGTACCCGCGCTACCCGTGAGGACCTCGGGTAGTCGAGTACAGAATACCTGAAAGCCCGAAGTCGCAGATGACGTTATGCACAGTGCATTTTCATGCAATACTCCGCATGTGCATTGTGGTGTTACCATGGAAACATTATCCGATCGGGTACCCGTGCTACCCGAACGCGATACCCAAAGAAAATGCCACCCAACTCAGCGCTAATTTGTTGTCTTTTGTGCCTTCTTTGTCATTTGCTTGGCCAGGGGAGTTTTATTGTTCCTCGGATTATGCAACCGGCGGCTCAATTCTTGTCCACTATCCGATCACAAGCCTCAAGACCGTGTTCGGGAACGAAGAGTTTTGTCTGAGCCAAGGCGCCAGACGTGTGGAGCGACTCACGGAAGCAAAGTGCCTCGAGCACTTTTTGTACCAGATACGGATCCAGACAGGCTACGACAGGAAGCAGGAAGATGTTCATCTGCTGCCGCTCCAAATATGTGCCTTTGGTCCCTGTAAGTCGGGGAAATTGATGTATATGTCCGGTGTGTACGTCCCAAGTTTGCGGGCGGTGCCCGTCTCTGACTACTGGGGAATGAGAGATGGGGTGTTGTTTCCAAAAAATTGTAAGCAAACTGTGGTGGAGGGAAAAACCATGATGTTGAAGAATTTTATACAGTCTGGGGCATAGCGGGGCTTGGCTGCAAAAGGGAAACGTTTGGAGGTTGTGGATCAATTTGAAGACCAAAAAAACCGAAATTCAGCTCTTCTGGCCCTTTCACCGAAATCAGTACCAGCTTGTATTGTTGGCCCATTACTTGACGCTGAGGTGGCCTGCGGACAAAGTTTGGCGGTTTTGGTGGTTGATTAGTGAAGCTGATGTGTATATGTGATTGTCTATTTGTGTGTTTGTGTTTGTGTGTATGCATTCGTGTGTTTGTGTGTATGTATGTGTGTGTGTATGCGGTCGTGCGCGTATGTGTGTGTGTGTGTGTGTGCTTGTGTTTGCGTGTATGTGTGCATGTGTGTTTGTATGTATGTGTGCGTACGTGTTTGTATGTGTGTATGCGTGTATGTGTGTGTGTGTGCGTTTGTGTGTGTATGTGTGTGTGTGTCTGTCTGTTTGTGTGTTTGTGTGTGTGTGCTTGTGTATGTGTGTGTATTCGAGTCCGCGAGCATGAGGGTATGTGTGTGTGTGTGTGTGTGTGTGTGTGTGTGTGTGTGTGTGTGTGTGTGTGTCTGTGTCTGTGTTTGTCTGTGCGTGTCTGTGTATGTGTGTGTGTGTGTGTGTGTGTGTGTGTGTGTGTGCGTGCATGTGTGTGTGCATGTGTGTGCATGTGTACGTGCGCGTGCGCTCTTGCGTGCATGCCTGTGTGCACGTGTACGCACGGGGGAAATCCCGTTAGATGAGACATTCTGTCAGGCTACCGGACACACACTGAGGCAAGTTCAGGAACCTAAAACCATCCATTTTGCCGAACGGGAATGCCAACGTATGGGTGGTAGACTGCCCAATCGCGCTGAACTCGCCTGCATCAAACGAGACATTGTGAGCTTTCAGTATCCATTCCCGCTAGTGGCTTGGCTGCAATACCAGGACGGCCATGGCAACCAAATGGCCACTAACGGCGTTTCCTACAAGGTCCATGGCTATGGGAAAGCGTCGATGCTCACTCACCGTGTTATCTGCGCCATTCCTCCTGGTAAGCAGCCGCTGTCGTCGCAGGAATATACAGTCAGCATCACTTATAGCGTTGGTGTTTGATTTTGGGCATTTTAACACTATAAGCGATATTATCACTGTGACCGATAATGCATGCAATGTATGCGAGTGGGGTCTCAAACGACTCAGGGCGCCGTGCACATACGCACTGCATAGGTGGCTACAGCTCATGTCACACAACATCAGCATTTCCTCACGATGGAGGCGTATTTGGCAACTTGTACAAGCAGAACTCACCAAACAACACTGAACAAGTTTGTTCTTCTCGAAGAAGTAACACCCTGTTCTCCTCTGACATCACTTGAGTTTACATCAATCACTATAATCGATGCAAAAATAATGTAATAAATGGCTTTTGAAATAAGAATTTGGTCACTATAGGCGATATATTACTATAGACGATTATTACTATACGCGATAACTGTGTATACTTAGTTATGGCAAATGAAAATGAATTTGAGAAATTGATCACTATATCCGGTATATTACTATAGCCGCCAACCTTATAGGCGATACGGACAGTACATGTACAGTACTGGGGTTTTTGAACTCTTTATTCTCACGATGGCACCATCGCCAATAAGAGATACGTTTATGAGAAGGTGAGATGCTGTGGGTGGGGCTGCGGGTTATGCACTTGGATAGTGATTTACATCACTTTGAATTTGAAACACGAAACTCGGAGTTACGAGAAAGATTTTGTGGCCTCTGTTGTTCTGCCCCGTGTGGTAAGCTCTGCCCTTTTTACTGAAGTAGGTACTGGTATTGAGCAGTGTTTGCAGCAAAGACTACATACACGTTGTTACTTTGAACTTACACGGTTGTTTGTTTGTTTGTTTGTTTGTTTCTCAAAATGCGAAGACTCCACTGTAGCCATCCGCTATATCCATACATCTTCACTTTCAAAACGGTCTCTGGGCTACACCAGCTTTCTGAAGATGGGCATTGCCTGAAAATTCGAATAATTTTAATATCTGTTTTTCTTTTAGTGATTGGTGTAGCCCAGAGACTGTTTGTTAGTTGTGATTTCAATAACTTGCGGTGGGTGTACATGCCATGAGCTGCTACCTTCACTGTGTACTTTAGCCTGGATCTGTGCTTGTGTGTGTGTGTGTGTGTGTGTGTGTGTTTGTACGTGTGTGTATGTGTGTTTGTGTGTGTACGTGTTTGTGTGTGTATGTGTATGTGCGTGTGTACGTGTGTGTGTGTGCGTGTGTGGTGTGTGTGTGCGTGCACGTTTGTATATTGGTGTGTGTGTGTCTTTGTGATTACGCTTGCGGGTTTGTATGAAATGCGCGGGCGCGTGTGCGTGACCTGTTTTCGTGCGTGTGTTCAGTTCACACGGCTAGGGCTAAAGTCCCCGCGGGGATAGTCAAGGCGCAGTGCGGCCACTGGAATGTCATCATGCATCCACGCTCGTTCGAGAAGCTCTCGTACGACGAGGCCCAAAGCACCTGCCGCAAGAACCTTGGATTCTTCGTGCCGAGCGAGCGACTGTGGCACGACTTGCTGGCGGTGATGAACTTCGGACCGGCGGGCTGCAAGGAGCTGTATGCGGCGTTCAACAAAGTGCCCGTTTGGCATAGCATGGACGCACTGCAGCGGGAAGGCGCCAGATTCGCGTCGGTCTGTGTTGGTAAGTAGACTGCAGCGCCCGCATTAGAGCATAGCTTGCATGGGGCGCCAGGGTATGTACGGGGTACATGCATATGATACAGGCCACCTGTTGGAGGTGTGAGGGGGGGGGGGGTTATATGTGTGTGTGCCTGTGCGTGTGTGTTTGCGTGTTTAAGGGCGTGCGTGTTTGATTGTGTGTGTGTGTGTGTGTGTGTGTGTGTGTGTGTGTGTGTGTGTGTGTGTGCGTGCGTGTGCGTGTGTGTGTGTGTGTTTGTGTGCATGTGTGTGTGTGGGTGAGTGGGTGCAAGCTATTGGGTGTACGCATGATCTCACAGGCATGTAGTGGTGTAAACTAAGCAGGCATGTAGTGGCGTAAACTAAGCAGGCATGTAGTGGCGTAAACTAAGCAGGCATACACGCACATCATGCATACGTACGCACGTCAGTGCAACGGGAAAAGCATGCTGGCGTCACTGCACACACTCATTTGTTCCTGTCCACTCTGTCTGTCTGTTGTGTGTGTGTGTGTATGTGTGCGTGCATGTGTTTTTATATGTGTGTGTATGTATGTCTGCGTGTGCGACAGGAGCGCACATTCATCCCGCCGCCATCTCGAGTCATTTCGTGCACCGACACCAGGGGGTGGAGCACATCAACGAGGACGGTCGCGTCACGTGCAAGCAGGGGTACAGAAAGTTGATGAGAGAGGACATCACCGGCTATGCGTACTATGGATATTGGATGCAGACAGCCGGCTGTTACAGTGAGTTGGCACTGTATTCAGGTGTTTCCCCGGGCAGTGGGGTGGGGTATGACCTGGTCCAGCCCAGCCCCCCACACCCCCACCCCTCCAGCTCAGGGAAAAAATCTGATTTTTCGGCCATCAGGACATGTGTGTGTGTGTGATGTACAGGCACTCTGGGTAGACCATGATGGACGAAAAGCGGTACGACCATGGTCTGCTAAGTGGCAAAAAATTGCAAATCGTTACGAAGTCTGAAGAAAATAAAGAAAATATTGAACAGTCTCTGCTGGGATGACGACTACACCATGGCTCAGCATCGCTGGCTACAAGCGAGGGTCCCTGGTTCGAGTCCTGGTGGTGACAGTCAATTTTTTCTTCAGACTTTTTCCGTTTGTGTCTTTCCCTCAAACCAGTGGAAATCGTTAAACCTTTGACTTTCAAATCTTACAGTGCCAACAAATCTGTTTTAGTGAAAAGCTAGCTCAAAAATATGGCGGTCTTTTTTGTGCTGTTTTAGTGAAAAGGTAGCTCAAAAATATGGCGGTCTTTTTTTGTGCTGTTTTATTGAAAAGGTAGCTCAAAAATATGGCGGTCTTTTTTTGTGCTGTTTTATTGAAAAGGTAGCTCAAAAATATGGCGGTCTTTTTTGTGCTGTTTTCTTGAAAAGGTAGCTCAAAAATATGGCGGTCTTTTTTGTGCTGTTTTAGTGAAAAGGTAGCTCAAAAATATGGCGGTCTTTAAGTCAATTGAACCTGAGAACATGAACCATACCCCTGGCAACTGTACAATCTTAGTGGACACTGATTCCAACTTCACAATAACAGGGGCTCAGTTCTTTTTGGAGACAAAACCCAGGCGCGTGCGCCGGTGCCCTTCAAGGGGTGGGGGGTTCCGGGCGCCATCCCCCGGGAAAAATTTCAAAAAATGAAGCAAAATCCTGCATTTTGATCGAAAAGGTGGGTTCTGGGCACCCAGGAACCCATACGGGGCACGCGCCTGAAACCCCTATTTAACGAGTAACCTTTGTAGTAACGAGTTGTTTATGGTGGAATTATCCATCGATTTCTAAGTAAAGTAAAACATGTCAATTTCGGTGTAATAAAATCTCGGTGTCAGGGACCTGATGGGTTTCAGGTGTAACTTAGAACTTGGTGACCAGCATTCCCTTCACATACAGCACATACCATTGTGCCATTAAGACGTCATCTAAAATGTACGTGCCTGTTTTTGTTTTTTCTACCGAAATCACCGAAATTAAAGTTACACCGAAAAAAACCTGTTTTACAGTAATTGATAAAATCGTCTCAACGATAATAAGCTTTGTCCGCTCTTGTCATGGCCGGTGACCCATCTAGTGGCACCAGGCAGTCAACCAATATAGTCAACTCAAGCAGATAAGTACCTCACCTGTTCTCCGTCTCACACAAGACAGTCGAAGGTTGAAGGGCGCGATGAAAGACACTTTATTACATTTGGTTCGGCGGCTTTTATGTGATTCAGAACAGTATAATTTGTGATATAATAATAGAGTAGTAAATATATGGAAGTGTATTCCGGGGAGCTCGCTCACCCACGTGAGAGTATAACAAATTGAGTTGCGAGGCGTCTTCGTGCGACACCTCTCTTGGTACGCACGAACTCCCTTCGGCGGACAGGCAGCCTGGAGGACGCCGCCTGCGTATGCGTGAGTTGAGTTCGGCTGACGGGTGGCCTTCAGGGGCGGCGCCTTCGTACGATGGTCGGCCTGGTTGTGCGCCGCGTTCATCTCATGCCCGTAGGCCCTTCCCTCTCATCTCCCCGTAGGGTGCCGGATGGCCAAGCCGGGTCCTCTCCCAAAAGGGATACGGAGTCCGCAGTGCGGGGAGCACTGCAGGACTCTTTACGTCGTACGACGCGAGAAGAGGTGCCATTTTTGCTAGACTAACAAGGGTATCAGCTCCCTTGCAGGACAAAGCGTGGCCCCCTCAAGCTCCTCAGTATACCATGTACAATGCGGACGACTTGTACGGAAGGTGTGGCCGACGTACGACCACACTTTGCGCCTCTAGGCCACGAGTTGTAAGCCATGATTGCTCAACTAGCGAAAGTGCCAAATCCTTCGCAGGACTATTCATGGGTCTTACAGAACTCTAGAAGTTTTCTCGGAGCCCTGCTTTTGGCTGCTGAACTCAATGCGTGGTCACTTTCACGACGAGTCGAATTTGGGTCATGACACTATAATTCAGGGGTGATGTCAGCAGAAGCCACCAAATCAATCTCACGACCATGTGCAACAAATGTTATTGACTTCTGTGTTATATCCTGTGCTTTTCTTTTCCCCTCCAGAGTTTATGGATTTCAATGCAAGAAGCTTGGTCCTCACCAGAAGGAAACATACTGGAGCTACACTGCTGCCCCATGGCCAGGGTAAGAAAGAAATAGAGAGACAGCGAGACAAAGAGAGAGGGAGAGTGAGACATAGAAAAAGAGAGAGACAGAAAGAGAGAGACAGAGAGAGAGAGAGAGAGAGAGAGAGAGAGAGAGAGAGAGAGAGAGAGAGAGAGAGAGAGAGAGAGAGAGAGAGAGAGAGAGAGAGAGAGAGAGAGAGAGAGATAGAGAGAGAGAGAGAGAGAAAGAAAGAGAGAGAGAGAGAGAGAGAGAGAGAGAAAGAAAGAAACAAAGAGAGAGAAAGAAGTGTATGTGTTCACGTAAGTGAATGTGTATATTCATGGATGTCGCCGTGTGGCCGTTTGGCCGGTTGGGAGTGTATGTGGCCCTTTGGCCGGTTGGGAGTGTATGTGGCAGTTTGGCCGGTTGGGAGTGTATGTGGGCGTTTGTTTTGGTAAACAAGCATTTCGGAGACAGCAGATTTAATATACCGGTAGCTAGAAAGAGTACTAATTATACTGTAAGAATGTCATTTTTTCACGTCTACATGACTTTATTTTGCCCGCAAAAGAGGCCGTTACCCCCGGAGAAAAATTCCGATATGTCGACGTGCATGTGTAAAATGTTCTACGGTGGTGGCAAGGCACAAAACGCAAAGGGAAAGAGAGGATCTGTTCAGAACTGTTTTCTTGTTACATTCATCAGTGAATCTGCGGAACAATGGAATGGGGACTACCGTATTTCCTCGATTAATAGACCCGGTCTTTTGTTTTTTGAAGAGGGTTGGACCCCTGGTCTCTTATTTGGGCATGGTCCATTATTTGAGCACAGTCCACTATATTTTCATCGGCATATCGCTGGAAATGGTGGATTTTTAACACGTCATAATAATAGATTTTTAACACGTCATAGTATAGAAGTTCTATATTATGACGTGTTAAAAAAATCCACCATTTCCAGCGATGTGCCGATGAAAATATAGGGGACCGTGCTCAAATAATGAAAGAAAACACTAGCCAATACAAAAATTGTAGTTGCGCAACCTAAAATCGCGTCCTTTTTGATCCACTACGTGCTTTCTTAGTGCGCATGCACAAAGCAATGAACTCAAATAAGAGACCGGGTCTCTTATTCGGGCATAGTGTACTATTTTCCCGTGAGGCCTCTAGGAGGGTCTACGATTTGAGCATGGTCTGTTATTCGAGCATGGTCCATTAATCGAGGAAATACGGTGCTCGAAACTAATCTTATATGGACAAATAAAAGTGAAAGAAAGGGAAAAAGAGCGAGACAAAAACGTGATTATACTACATGTATTCGGCGGGGGACAATTTCACACAATTTTAGGGTGCGGAGAGGCTGGCTGTGCCAAAGAGATGCGTGAAGATGATTTGAAAGACCATGTGTCTTGGTGTCCTGTTGTTGTTTCCTATTTTGTAGTATGCAGGCCACATCAACGCCCGGCAGGCTGGGAGCAAACGTTCCAAGACGGTACAGTCAAATGTCCGAAGAGTCACATATGGATTTGTGACAACAAAGAAGGATCACACTGCCCGAGGCCGGGAGACGAACACAAACAGTGGGCTAATTGCGACAAGCAACATCATCATCGCCAAGATTCGGCCAAATGTGGTTCTACATGTGAGTTCTGCCCTGTTTGTCCATGTGTGTGTGTGTGTGTGTGTGTGTGTGTGTGTGTGTGTGTGTGTGTGTGTGTGTGTGTGTGTGTGTGTGTGTGTGTGTGTGTGTGTGTGTGTGTGTGTGTGTGTGTGTGTCTGTCTGTGTGTCTGTGTGTCTGTGTGTCTGTGTGTATCTGTGTGTGTATGTGTGTATCTGTGTGTGTATGTGTGTATCTGTGTGTGTATATCTGGGCTTTTTTGTTTGTTTGTTTTTTACTCGAGCCACGTCAACCCGTCATGTGTGAGCCATGAATAAGGGGAGTGGTGGCGTGGTCTGGGATGCTCTGCCGACATTTGGTCTTGGCTTCATCACAACCAGGCGCGCCAATAGCAGAGAGGGAGAGACAGAGAGACAGAGGGACAGAGAGACAAAGAGACAGAGAGAGAGAGAGAGAGAGAGAGAGAGAGAGAGAGAGAGAGAGAGAGAGAGAGAGAGAGAGAGAGAGAGAGAGAGAGAGAGAGAGAGAGAGAGAGAGAGAGAGAGAGAGAGAGAGAGAGAGAGAGAGAGAGAGAGAGAGAGAGAGAGAGAGAGAGAGAGAGAGAGAGAGAGAGAGAGAGAGAGAGAGAGAGAGAGAGAGAGAGAGAGAGAGAGAGAGAGAGAGAGAGAGAGAGAGAGAGAGAGAGAGAGAGAGAGAGAGAGAGAGAGAGAGGGAGAGAGAGAGAGGTGTATGTGTGTGTGTATGGTGTGTATGTGTGTGTTCATGTGTGGTGGTGTGTGTCTGTGTGTGTCTGTGTGTGTCTGTGTCTGTGTGTCTGTGTGTTCACACGTGTGTGTGTGTGTGCACGTGTGCGTGAATGCATGCACGTGTTCGTGTGTGCATGCACACACACACACACATGTATTCCAGTGTATAACTATGCACGTTCATGTCTGTTTGGGTTTGTCTGTGCGTCGATGTGCGTACATACTGACAGATTCGCCAGTAACTGAATCGACTCGACCTGTTGTTGGACTCAATACTTTACCCAGACATTATCTCGAGACGGAGACGGCAACATACAAATGCTATTGGCCAATGTTTGAAAGCTGTTTGAGCCCCCCTTGCGCCGGTGGTCGGTTTAACCGAGCTGCAAAGGTGTCCTCAGTTTTGCGATACAGCGACAACACATGGACATGGGTTTATAGGAATCTTCCTCCGTGCGCCAAGCTCTGTAAGTGCTTTACTGTGTGTGTGTGTGTGTGTGTGTGTGTTTGTTTTTGTGTGTGTGTGTTTGTGTGTGTGTGTGCGTGTGTGTGCAGGTATGCATGTGTCTGAGTGTTGTTGTGAGTGCAATGGTTTGTTAACCCTTTCCATGCTGGCCCCCTTTACTCCAGAAAACTGCCTTTCCAGCGCACTCACTCTCCTGGTCGTTTTCGCGCACACATCTGAACAAATTTTTCCTTCAATTCAGTTCACCTTGATGGAGTTTCGTCATCCTGGGCTTGTTGGAAAGATCAGGACCAAGCGAATCCATTTTGGTAGCTCTCAACTCAATATGCACGGCGGTGCAACTTCTATGTCCTCTCAAAACTACCTAATGATGCTTCGGAAATGCACAGGAACTTGATCTCACTTTCTTTTTGGCTTCTTGCTCCAGTTCAGCCCATTGGCACGATTCAAACTGTGCTGCAAAGCTCAGATTCGCATGCTCCGCTGGCCAAAGGGGAATCCCTTGGCACGCAAAAGAAAACTGTGAGCTCATGAACAAAGAAATTCACAATCGTTCCGTGCCGTGAATTCCGTGTTCACTCCGTCGCCGCTCCGTCAATCTTTCTCCTACCGCGAAGAACTTTATATCGCTGGAAAGCTGAACCTTTTCACCTTTCCAACTGTGTATTGATTGTCGCGATACTTATTTTTGACGGAGTTACCAAAATTTGTACACTGATCTATGCACTGCGATGTACTGCGCAAATCTCATGACGTCCATAGACGTCATTAGTCGTTTGACGTACAGCGCGCATGAAATCTATCGACGTCATTAGCACGGAAAGGGTTAAAGGAACTTGTGGCTACTTTATTTAACCCTTTCCGTGCTAAGGTCGAGTATTGTTGTCCTGATAAGTGTGCATCAAACGACTGGTGACGAGTATATTCATACTAATGTTTACCCAATAATAGGTTATTTATAGAGCAATGTACAAACTACCGTCCGTCAAATATTCACGGATTGTAACAAGACATAATACGGCGTTTGAAAGGTGTTGAGCTCAGTTTTCCAGGGATATACGGGTCTTGGCGATACGACAAAGATGGACCGAGCATCGACGAGTTTAACTCAGAAATCGCGACGCTGGGTAATCGCCATTTTTTTGTTCATGACTTTGCAGTTTTTTGGACCGTGCCAGGGGATTTCCCTTTGGTGCAACGCATGCGTGACGGGTATCAAAAGATGTGCTCGGATCTCAGCTTTTCAGTGCACTGTAAATCGCGAAAATCGGTTGATTCGGAGCGAGAAGCTGAAAAAAGAGGTAGATGGCCACCTTCCACCAGCAACTCATTGACTACAATGCCAAAGTCCGAGCCTCTGCCAATTGCCTTCGTCTCGCAAAGCAGGCAGAATCTGCCCGCATCCGAGATCGGCTCAAACATGGATCACTGCGAAACAAGCAATGGTGGTCACTCCTGAAGCAAGCTGCAGGCTCTGGCCGCAGCTCGTCTGTCCCTGTCCTACGCAATGCCCAGGGTAGAGAATATGTCACCAACCAGGAAAAGGCTACTTGCTTTGGAGAATTCTTTGCGAGCAAATGCAGTCTGGGTGATCAAGATCTACAGCACTCCGACCTTCCTGACCTTCCTCCGAGGTGTACATCTGCCCTGACAACTGTCCGATTTCGGGAAGCGACAGTCCAGCGCCAGCTCCGCCAGCTGGATCCAACCAAGGCTACTGGACCCGATGGCATCACTGCCAGAGTTCTGAAGCAGTGCTCAAAAGTTTTGGCTGCACCACTTGCCAAGCTGTTCTCACTCTGTTTTCGGTGTCATGTCCAGCCCTCTCTCTGGAAAGTAGCCCGTGTGGTCCCGATACACAAGAAGCAATCTCATTCTGCTGTTAAGAACTACCGACCTGTGTCCTTGTTATCTGTTGTCTCCAAAGTCATTGAGAAGATTGTCAACACTGCCATAATCAATCATCTTGAGCATGAAAAGGCTCTGTCCATCCACCAGTACGGATTCCGGCAGGGGCTCAGCACATCTGACCTTCTCACGTCTCTCAACCACTCCTGGGTCTTCGAAGTCAACCGTGGTGGCGCAGTCCGCGTGCTGGCTGTCGACATAGCAGGAGCATTCGACAAAGTTTCACACCGAGGCGTGCTCCACAAGGCTGCGTCATATGGCATCACTGGTCCCCTCCTCAACTGGCTGTCTGACTACCTGTATGACAGGAAGTTGCAGGCAGTAGTCGGCGGAGCATCTTCAGAACCATACAAGATCGATGCTGGGGTCCCACAAGGGAGCATCCTTGGGCCCACACTGTTTTTCTGTACGTGAATGACGCCTGCGACGTCCTACCGGAAGGGATCACTCCGGCTGTTTACGCAGATGACACCACGCTTTATGCCCACATCCCAACGCCACATGCTGTGACAGAAGTGTGCCGCAACCTCCAAGCTGGTGTGGATGCACTTGCTGAATGGGGTGCTCAGTGGCGCGTCACTTTTGAGCCAATGAAATCACAGGCCATGACTGTGTCCCGCCACCGCAGACCCTGGGAGACACCACCCATCATGTTCAACGGCACAGCGGTCCCAGAATGCTCGCGGCTGAAGCTCCTTGGAGTGACGTTTGATGCCCATCTAACATACTCGGAGCATCTTCGAGGAACTGCAGTGCGTGCCACACAGCGAATTGGTTTCTTCCGGAAGGCGTGCCATGTCCTGGACCCACCGGGCCGGGCCACAGCATACCGGGGGTTCATTCGGCCTCTAATGGAGTACTGTCCACTTGTATGGATGGGAGCTGCGGCTACCCATCTCTCACAGCTGGACCGAGTCCAGCATCGTGCCCTCACCCTGATTGGGACAGGGGCTGCAATGGACACTCTGTCCCTGCGGCGCCGTGTGGCCAGCCTCACAACTCTGTACAAGCTCCATTACATCGCAAGCCCGCCAGCTCTTGCAGCGACACGCCCAGCCAGAGCCATCGCACCCGCCATCGCGCCTGCCACACGTCGCCGCTCGGCAGCCAATCTTGCGCACGAGCTTCAACTCCAGACAGCCCTACCTTTCCAGATCGTGCAATGTTGCGCTGCGTTCTTTCCCGGAGTGCCTCATCGAGGCCTGGAATGAACTGCCAGCCACTCTCCTCCGCGATGCACCGTCTGCCAAAGGGATGCAGCAGTTCAAGGTTCTGACCTACCGCTACCTGAAACGGTCGGGTTGGTCATTGGCCACGGACATCGCCCCCTAGGCTATCGCCCTGTTCATGTTCTCGGAGCACTCCCTTCTCATCAAACTCCCAATCCATCTGTCTTTATCTCTCTCTAACTCTCCTCCATTCTAACTCTAATCTTTCGTCAAATCTGCACGGCAATCAGCCTCTACTGTCGCCTCAGCATCATGATCTTGATACTGCTATATTTGTACTTGTTTGCGTACTTTTTTGCACTCATATCTTGGAATAACAAGTTTCCTGGTTTCTTACCCCCCCCCCCTCCTCTCTTTCCTACCCTTAGAGTTCTTGCTCTCCTGCTCCCCTCCCCGCCCTTCCACTCCCCATTTTGTTTCCTTTGGTGCACATGTGCAGCTGTGATGCCGAGACCCTTGGTCGGCTGAGCTTCACAGGTCCCACCCACTCCGTCCTGCTGGATATGTACCATTGTGTCGAGTTCTTCTCCTCATTTTAGTTCATCACGCAGTGAGTGTTCAATAGTAAAAAAATTAAATAAATAAAAATTGAGTTGATGCGGCTTTCACATTCATGGTGGAGTTTGGAGAGTATGGAGAAGTGGCTCTGGTATGCCCATAAGCCCATTACGCAATGACGTAATTGGTACCATAAACACTCCACACAGCCACCTGGGCATGGTCGTCTGGGGTGTTGAACAGTGCATTGCTGATCCCAGTGTACTCACATAACACCGCACACAGCCACCTGGGCATGGTCGTCTGGGGTGTTGAACAGTGCATTGCTGATCCCAGTGTACTCACATAACACCCCACACAGCCACCTGGGCATGGTCGTCTGGGGTGTTGAACAGTGCATTGCTGATCCCAGTGTACTCACATAACACCGCACACAGCCACCTGGGCATGGTCGTCTGGGGTGTTGAACAGTGCATTGCTGATCCCAGTGTACTCACATAACACCCCACACAGCCACCTGGGCATGGTCGTCTGGGGTGTTGAACAGTGCATTGCTGATCCCAGCGTACTCACATAACACCACACACAGCCACCTGGGCATGGTCGTCTGGGGTGTTGAACAGTGCATTGCTGATCCCAGTGTACTCACATAACACCGCACACAGCCACCTGGGCATGGTCGTCTGGGGTGTTGAACAGAGCATTGCTGATCCCAGCGTACTCACATAACACCCCACACAGCCACCTGGGCATGGTCGTCTGGGGTGTTGAACAGTGCATTGCTGATCCCAGCGTACTCACATAACACCCCACACAGCCACCTGGGCATGGTCGTCTGGGGTGTTGAACAGTGCATTGCTGATCCCAGCATACTCACATGCATTACTCATAACAGTTACTTTCCATATTTGGCAATGCGCGATTGGCTTATTGGGCTGATAGTTGTCAGGATGGATTTGCTTGGTCCTAATCTTTCTAACGAGCCCAGGATGATGCCAATCCGCCATGGTGATGTGAAATGAGAATACATTTTGTTCCGAGGTATGCATGCAAATTCCACCAGCAGAGTCAGTGCACTCGGTAGTCAGTTTTACTGGAAGAAAGGGTCCAGCATGGAGAAAAAAAAAAAAGGTTACACATTGTCAATATGTGGAGAAAATGTGTACTATTAAAATGGATTCCATTTGTAATGAATGTGTACCATTTTTTTATCTGCTCTTCCAGTCTCCATTGAAATTGAGAAGGCACACTGGTACGTCAGCCACCAGCCAACAACACTGGACCGCGCCATCTCCGCCTGTGAAAACATCGGCACCAGATTAATGACGCTGGACGAAGTGCACCAAATAAGGGAGGTGATCATGCGGAGGACGACAAACTTTGCAAACCATTACATCTGGGCGCTGAACCCAACGACAATGGCGGGCGTTTCTTACAGAATGGACCAGGGTGTTCAGAAGGGGAACTCTCGCACCGCACTCGTCATGTGCAAGAAGTCCAGTGAGTCTTTGTATAAGTCACCCATTTAGCCCATTCAGCGCTACTGGGCCTTGCCTATGGTACTCAGCATATAAATGCTAAAAACAGGGCAAGTTCCAAAACTCCAGGATTCTGGCTATTGGGTCGTCGATTTTTTCGGAAATGTTGACCAAGACTATCAGCCTCAGGTTTAATAAAATCGATACCGGCCCCAAAAAGAAGAGCGCAGCACAATAAGGGATGCAAAGTTGCCCCAATTTGGGCAACCTTGCGTCCAATCATCCAATCACTTAGGAGCCTAACAATTTTGCGGGACAATACTTTGCACTTTAAATGTACGATTTCAGGCGCCAGATCGCAGGTGCGCATTATGCTCCGAAAATGAAATTTGATTTACTACGAAAATTAGTATCAAACAGTTGCGACGTTTGCCACCTCGGACCTGGAGCAAGCCGTATGTGTGCATTCCTAGTGCCTACTTTCAACTACACTGCCCCCCCCCCCCCCCCCCGCTAGCACCCTTCATTTCACATTCATGTGTCATTGGCAGTCGTTCGACGAGCCAGGAAATGTTGAATAACTACAAATACAAACCCATGATATAATTATATATGAGAGCCCACCGGTAGCACATGCGTCACACAGTTCTACACGCCGATAATCATTTCATGATTTACTTCTGAGAATGCTGGCACTAAAATTTAATGCTGTCTTGATGATCGATTACGCTTTCAAATCTAGGCTGCGCATTTTTCTCCGGGGAAAACTTGCATTTCCAAAACGTTACTCAAAACCGGTGTGCCGTAGATCCTGTATAATGTATGAGAACAATAATTATTATTGGGATTGGCTGAACAATATCCCGAAGATATTTCTCGAATTTTTAACAAAATTTCAATTCCAAATGATCGGGCGGAGAAGTGAACTGCCTGAAAAGAGGAGAAAAATGTATACGGCCCCACAATAAGGCCTCTAGCCGAGTCTGACGCGAAACGTGAATTTTTCAGACTTTAGCGTTCGTAACCACGCCATATTGCTGTGTTGCTTATTGTGTTTGCAGCTAAGCTCGAAGACAAGGGAACGTGCTGGACCGGTGACAAGTTGTACACACTGCCAAACAGCCCGGCTGGATACTACACGAACATTCACCAGTGCGAGGCTCCGCAGCGGGAGAACGCCATCATACCCTTCCAGTTCCTCAACCTGTGCCTGGATGCGCTGACACGCTGGGCGCCTACTTACAATTCGTACTGGGTGCTCAGCACAAACCATGGTCTTCCTGAGGCAAGCGACGGAAGAAAGCACCCCATTCGGGAAAGAAGAGCACCGGCTTGTTGGCAAAGTAAGTGACCCCAATAATTATAACAATAATACTTGGTCCGTTTCATCGCAATTGTCGCTTATCTCCCACGCACCTTTTGACAGGTAAAACCCAGTCCGATATTTGATGGGAAAGTGGGAAACTTTTCGCTGCAGTGAATGCACTGCAGTGAATGCACACATTCACTGCAGCGAAAAGCCAAGCGCAGCTCAAAGACCGGAACTGTAGCAGGGGAAATCGACATCCTGACCTGGAGAGCGTGACAGTCACGGCCAGGCCAGCCAGCTCAGTTGTTTGAACTGCAATGTTTGAACTGCAATGACCTGGTATTCTTTGCAAGCCTGCAAACTGATGGCGAGATGGTGGCAAAGATCCAGAAGACATTGTCCGACCTGGCAGCGGCAGTACAAGAGTCGTGGTCAGCTTATCCAGCAGAGCGTATGACAGCTGTCTGGAGAGGGATGTGTGCCTGATTCAAAAACATTGTTGAACACACAGTACTGTAGTGACAGACGGGTCACGCTGCCCACGTTCCTCCAAGTGCCAGAGTGACAGCCGCGACTGTTCCTTTCCCATCGCTGCTATACGCCAAGCGGAGAAAGCAAGAGATACTCTACGCCAGCAGCTATACACACCAGTGAATGTCAGCTCAAGTGGCATCAGCTCGAGTGATACAGAGCCAGAGTCGGATAAACTAAAGCGTGAGTGCAAGAAGGCGCTCCGTCGCTGTATTCTTTTCGCTCCGTCGCTGTTTTCTTTTGTACATTTCTTGTAACCTTGCTTCCTTTCTTCGACTTGCTTCATCAGATTCCATCGCTGAACTTATTTCTTGTGGCGGACAGGAATCCTGTATCATGCTTCTTCACTATGCGTATTGGAAATTTTACAGAGCGGTAAAAAAACTCCTGTTCTTAGTTGCGATAGATAAGCGACAATTGCGATGAAACGGACCAAGTAAAATAAAGTTGATTGTTCCAACTAGGAACACACACTTCTTGCCAAACTTGACACTTGACTGACTCACGACTGCCATCCAGAGCACACGAGGAGCACGTCGCACCTTCCACTCGGCAAACCTGCAAGAAAGCACCACTCCCTGCAAGAAGCAAGAAGCGTGTGTTCCTAGTTCGAACAATCAACTTCATGACTGTTATATATGCACTCTGATGTAATATATTATGTACTCTGTATGCATTTGTATATACTCATTGCGCATGCTCTGAATCATGGTCTTACTCTACATGTATCCATGCCGGCTGGTTGACTCTGGTGAGCTGCGTGTGAGACTGCATGTAGGGTGTACGTGGATACACAACAAATGGCGACGAAGATGAAAATTTTGTTTTGAGATAATTTGTTTAGTTGAGTGCTTGCGAGAATTTGGTAAACCATGGCCTCTTCAGGGAAGGCCACCCTGGAGCAGTTTTCTGGCGGGGACTTTGCGGAGTACCGGGAACGGCTTGAGTTTTATTTTCTCGCAAATGACATCGGTGTTGTTTCAGCCAGTGCAAACTCATCGGAGAAAGAACGCGTACGTAAGAAGATGATTGCACATCTAATCTCTTCACTGTCGAAAGACGTCTACTCCACTTTGCGGAACCTCTGTCTGCCGGAGTCAATATCGGACAAGACCTTCGAGCAGATTTGTGACCTACTGAATGGATATTACAGAGTGGAGCGTTCCACGATGACTTCTTCTTTTCAATTTCGCGATTGCAACCAGAGACCAGCGGAAAAGCTGGTAGATTACGCAAATCGTTTGAAACGTGCGGCAGTAGCCTGCGACTTTGGGTCGCATTTAGACAGATCCCTAAAAGATCAATTTATGGCAGGAGTCTACAGTCAGGAGATCAAGCGGACGATTCTGACTAGTCCTGACAGCAAGACGAAGAAGTTTCAGGATGTGCTGGATATCGCTTTACGGGAGGAGCGCGCCATCATGTTTGCTGAGCAGCTTACTCCAGGTACTACTACTAGTACTAGATCAACATCTACGCCGTCCGAGTCAGTCAACAAGATGAGAGCTACCACTACCAGTAAATCCAAGTCCGCAAGTGCATCTAGAAAGCCAAATCACTCGCAGGACCAGAAAGGGTCAAAGTCGACGAAGGGCAAGGTTTGTTATCGTTGTACATCTGATTTACATATGGCTGACAAGTGTCCTCATCGATCTACTACTTGTCGATACTGCAAGAAACGAGGACATCTCGAAAGAGCCTGCATCACCAAGCAGAAACGAGGTGAAATTCACCACGTGGATGACGAACCTGATGATCGAGGTGAGATCGTTTCTGATTGTGATGTTGATGATATGCCTATCTACAAGATTCGATCGGGTAGTGGAAAACACCCTCCGTATACTGTAATGGCGGAAATCAATGATGTTTGTTCACCAATTTGCATGGAAATCGATACAGGTAGTGCTGTATCCATCATCACCAAATCTGATTACGAGAAATTGGGTGCACCAGTGTCGTCTCTTGTAACTCAATCAGTCCAGCTCATTGGGTTTTCCGGTTCCATCATCCCCTGTTTAGGTGAAGGGAAATTTCCAGTGTCAATAAATGGGCAAAAGCACACTGTTCTCTTGCGCATTGTCGATACAAATGGTCCATCTCTGTTGGGCAGAGATCTTCTCTCACTTTTCAAACTAGAATGGAGGGAAATATTCTCGGTGAAGTCTGAAATTGATAATGCTCTTATACGCGCAAAGCTGCAGGAGGAAATGCTTCAGAAATTTGAGAGTTTGTTTGACACGTCAACTGTCGGCAAATTAAATTCAACTCAGGTCACTTTGCGTGTAAATGATTCAAAACCTGTGTACATGAAGGCTCGTTCAGTACCATTTGCAATCCGGGAGAAATACGAGCAAGGCCTCTCTAAACTGGAGGAGGAAGGTGTAATACGCAAAGTTGAATTTTCGAAATGGGCTTCACCTACGGTTCCGGTTCAAAAACCAGACGGAAATGTACGTATCTGTGCTGATTACTCGCGCACCATCAATGCTAATTCGGATTTAGAAAAATATCCGTTACCTACCATAGACGAAATTCGTGCCAAGTTGAATGGTGGGCAGAAGTTTACGAAGCTTGATTTATCTCAGGCGTACCACCAGCTAGAGCTTGATCCTAAGTCGAGGGGGTATACTACAATCAATACCCACCGTGGTCTGTTTGAATATGTACGTCTACCGTTTGGCATTCATTCAGCAGTCTCCATATTTCAGCGTACTATGGAGACTCTCCTGGTGGGTATCGATGGCTGCATTGTGTATGTAGATGATATTCTAGTCACAGGTCGAAATGATGCAGAGCACAAAAGAAATCTGGAAATGGTTTTGCAGCGGCTACAAGATGCGGGCATGCGTTTGAAAGCCACGAAAACCGAGTTCATGCTACCGCAAGTCTCGTACCTTGGTCATACTTTGAGTGCGAGTGGTATGGCGCCTTCGCCAGGAAGAATCGATGCTATGGTTAATGCCAATGCTCCTACGTCCGTCAGTGAGCTTCAATCGTTTATTGGGTCTGCGAATTATGTTCGCAAATTCATACCCAATTTTGCTCGGATTATGGCGCCACTTTACGCTCTGCTAAAGAAAGATACTGTTTGGAGATGGTCAGATTCTGAACAGACAGCGTTCCTTACGATAAAGAATGCTTTATGTTCCACGGAGGTTTTGGCGCACTATTCGGCGGGTCTGGAGCATGTCTTGCAATGCGACGCATCAGGAACGGGTCTTGGTGCGGTTCTGTTACAGAAAAACGAAAATGGTGATTACCAACCCATTTCGTATGCGTCTCGTCTGTTGAATAAAGCGGAGAGAAACTATTCAAATATTGAACGGGAGTCACTCGCTCTTGTGTTTGGTGCAACCAAATTTCGCCAATATCTCCTGGGAAAGAAATTTGTCCTTGAAACTGATCACAAACCTCTGGTGAAATTGTTCGGCATGCAGGAAGGTGTTCTGTTCCTGGTTTCTTCCAGATTAAAGAAATGGAAGTTATTACTTTCAGCGTATGACTACACCATCCAACACATTGCGGGAAAGGCAAATGTTCTGGCAGATTTCATGTCTAGAAAACCAATCTCTGGAAATCCTTCTACCCCGGAACTAGGTGAAACACGTGTACTTTTCATTGAGGACGAGCTCATTGATGCTCAAGTTGTATTGAATGCCACTGGAGATGATCCAGTTCTAGAGCGTGTTCGTCACTACACTTTGAATGGTTGGCCAGAGCATGTGAAAGAGGTGGAGTTACAGCCGTACTTTGTAAAGCGCTGGGAACTATCTATTGTAAATGATGTATTACTCTGGAATGAACGAGTGGTAATCCCCATGGCTTTGCGCGCGATGCTCTTGAGTGAATTGCACTCGGAACACACAGGCGCTGTACGAATGAAACGTATGGCACGTCGATATTTCTGGTGGCCAAAGATGGATGACGAAATTGAAGATACCACCAAAATGTGCGCTACGTGTCAAGAACAGGCACGCAAACCTAGTAAATCCTATGCTACCTGGTCATGGCCGTCGGGTCCATGGCGTCGTCTGCACATAGACTTTGCGGGTCCATTCATGGGCAAAATGTTTCTGGTGATTGTCGATGCGTATACGAAATATCTGGAAATTGTCCCGATGACACATGCCACATCAACGGGTACTATCAAAGCTTTGAGACGTTTGTTTGCCACATTCGGTCTACCCACTCACATCGTTAGTGATAATGGGACCCAGTTCACTAGTGCTGAATTTACCTCGTTTCTCCAGAAAAATGGAATCGCACACACTCGTTCAGCTCCCGGCCATCCGGAGACAAACGGTCTCGCTGAGCGATATGTCGGTCATTTTAAAGCTAAAATGAAAGCAATGGGAACAGAAGGTGACGACCTAGATACACGACTACAACGATTTCTAATGACATTTCGGTCAACTCCTACGGCGAATGGTAAATCACCGGCAGAAATGCTATTTAATCGCCAACCACGACTACGTTATGATGCTTTGAAAACAACACGGAATGCGGAGGCACAATCTTTCAATCAAAACCAGCATTTGCTACCAGAATACAAACCGGGTGATGCTGTGTTTGCGTTACGTTTTCAAAACCATGGTACAACCTGGGTCCCTGGTGTTGTTCTCTCTATCTGCAGTGCTATGAATTACTCTGTCCAGGTAAATGATGTGGTCTGGAAACGACACCGTAACCAACTCCGGCCACGTTCAATACCACTTTCTCAGTTAGCAGAACAGACACGTTCTGCACCACAGCAGCAACAACTCCAGCCGCAGCAGCAACAACTCCAGCCGCAGCAGCAGCAGCAACAACAACTGTCACCACAACAGCAACAGCCTCAGCCGCAGCAGCAGCAGGTGCCACAGCAGTTGCCGCCTCAGAAGGCTCAACAGCCGACGACTTCACAGCAGAAAGAGCAGCCCATGCAACAGTCGCAGGATGAGCAGGGTCAACAGTCGTTAGCTTCTACAGCCCCAGCTGATGCTGTACCTGTTGACCGGCAGGTGACTCGATCTGGTCGGTCAGTCGTAAGACCAGCTCGGTATAACGGATGAGACATTTTATACATGTAGGATATGTAATTATTATATTATTTGCATGGATTGATTGAGATGATCGTGAATGCATGTACGTGGTTCTCTTGTTGCATTTGTATATATCAGTATAATGCTCTGTATAGTACATACCACACATAGAACATTGAACTTTGATAATTGGCACGTCAGACGATGGTACATTATTACATTGTCTGTTCTATGCTATTATTCCTTGTCATGAAAATGTTTTGTTTTCGGTGTTACCTCTTTTTGCGAGGGGGATATTGTTATATATGCACTCTGATGTAATATATTATGTACTCTGTATGCATTTGTATATACTCATTGCGCATGCTCTGAATCATGGTCTTACTCTACATGTATCCATGCCGGCTGGTTGACTCTGGTGAGCTGCGTGTGAGACTGCATGTAGGGTGTACGTGGATACACAACAATGACTATTTCCGCCGAAGTCGCAACTTCTAAGTTAATAATAAAATAATCTTAAAAAATAGAAGAAATCACATGGAAACGAGTTACGAGCAACTATCCACGACTGTAGCTAGATAATAAGCAGTCAGAATAGTGCGAATCGTTGAATGTCACAGTAACATGTCAGTATTGTGCCCTGTTATCGCACTTTCTGACTGCTTATTATCTTGTTTAAGTCGTGGATAGTTGCTTCATGCCTACCTGGGGATCTCTTATTTGTGTATGTACTAGAAATATGCAGAAAACGGGGTTTGTCAACTGGTCCAGTTGCTGTTCACAATCGGCGCATGAGCCTGTAAAACAAGTGACCGTAATACGTTGCTATAATTTTTTTAATTTTGACCTGCGAATTACCGGTTTTGTCGCACATCACTGTTCATGCCTGGACACCATTCCTCCCACACAAATTCCGCTAACTTTCTCCAGATTTGGGTCGAACTATTACTTTAATGTCATGGACTTTTTTTGCCCTCGGATGTCGCAAGGAAAAATTGCACGGCCACACTCTAGGGTACCCTGTAAAAAGACTCACAGTCTGTGGGGATTGCCCTAGTAAAATAATAAATACTACTACTACTTCTACTACTGCTACTACTACTACTCTGTAGAATGTACTGAATGCCCAGAGTATAAGCACTACCAGGATGTTTTTCTCTTTTAAAATACAGACGTCAACCCTATAGTTTTAGAATTGCCATAAACAGAACGAGCAGAACAATCATTTCAGAACGGCTCTATTGTGTTCAAAACGGCTGGATACGAAAGCGGTGAAGAACAGAGAAGGAGAAACAAATGTGACATGAAAGAAATGCTGACAAAAGAATACTTGTAACTAGTACTATTGCCGCCTCGTCGCTTATTGTCAGCTCTATAGTTATAATTTATCACCATTCATCTCACAAGCGTAGTGTAAGCGGCACTGACTTTCTTCCGGGTGAATTACGCGTGTTTAATTTAAAGCGTGGCTTATGCGCAGAGCGCCAACTACGGTACTGTTGTTCGAAGATCTCTACAACTACTGGATTCACGCGCATACAAGCGCATGGGACATGGGTTCGGATGTAAACACACCCCTCACATACAAGCCCATTGGCTTGTAACTGAACAGAATTCACAATTCCGGTATCATCACATTTCCGGTATCGCTGTACAGCTACTGGTCTCTTACTACTTGTACCTCATACATGTATCTTCTTTTTTATTTTTCTATAATGATAAAGGCCTCTTTTAGGGCAAAAAGAATACAACTGACAGTGGCATGGCGAATGATTAGAACACAACACCAAAATTGAAAACAATTGTACGTGTGAAAAGAAACGCAAAAAAAAACAAGAGAGAAACAAGCACATCTATCGGGTATCCTGTAATACTAGTGATTTGGGGCTAATAACTACCTCGCGTGCAAAAGCGATTTTTTCCATATTTGAAGTGGTGTGAATACAGCGATCTTCGAAAAATTCCAAATAAGCCCAGGGGGCTTATATGCGCGTGAATACGGTACATTTGGTGGATACGAAAACGGGTCTTCTAACACACAAACTGTCACTTTGCACCGAATGTTCTCTCTATGCTAGCAACATTGTTTTACAGTAGGTGAGTAAGTTACGCAGAAGTCACCGGCTTGTCAGTTTGAGCACTCTTGCATTGTCCGTTCGCGGTTTATGTCTGGCTCTGGGGAAATTAGGCTTTCATTACTATCAGGTTCGGCCTCATTTTTTTCTGTGCTGCGCTGATGAGTCCACAAAGCACGGAACAGTTCTGTCCGCGGATTGAGAATTATATTTGATATGTGCGTATTCTCTGGTGTTTTATCCCCTGTGTGTATGTGTGCGTGTTTGTATGTGTGTGTGTGCGTGCGTGCGTGGCCGTACATGCACGCGTGTGTGTGTGTGTGTGTGTGTGTGTGTGTGTGTGTGTGTGTGTGTGTGTGTGTGTGTGTGTGTGTGTGTGTGTGTGTGTGCGTGTGCGTGCATGTGTGTATGCATGTGTGTGTGTACACATGTTCTTTGTCTGTGTTTGTGCGTCTGTGCACGGGAACGTCGGTGCATGGGAACGTCCCCGCCGCTGCACCTCTTCCCACTACTTCCTGTAGAGCGTAAATGGAACAATGAATTTGTTGTGAAACACGAATGCAGTCAAGTAGTCCTGGTGTATACCATCAGGAAGACGCTATCAACCTACCGCGCTGCAGGTGCTCTGTGTGGCAAGAGCGGGCTGGCGCTTCCTACCCTCCACCTGGAGTCGTGCGTACGCCCGTTTGCCCGGAAACTCGGCATCGGCCCTGTTTGGTCGAATCATCGCAGGGGCCCGCAGCACGCTATTACTACCACTCCGCTCTCTTATGGAAGCCCGAATCGGAAGTATCCGGTTATATGTGTATTTCGTAAGTTATTGCAGTTTGTAGATCAGTGATAAATGTTGAACGTTGTGCTCAAAAACATTGTGTGCGAGAAACAGAATGCTCGTATCAATTGACACATCATTGATAGTACATCTGTCAGGTTAATGGCTATGGGCAAACACATACTTGCACACAACGCCACACACTAGATCATACTAATAATTATAACTACTATGCTATTACCTTCAGTGACAAGCTTTCAGTGATGATGGTGACAAGAAAGCGTTCTCTGACACTTCACTCGTCAGCGGAGTCATAGGTGTCAATGAACAGCTTAGGAGAAACACCATTTCCCGTTCGCTTACACAAAGGTGACTGTCAGCAAGAAAGTCGTGAACCTGCATTGTGACACAAGGGGAACGGTGGGGGGGGGGGGGGGGTGTCAACTGCCAAATGCTGCTTTGTTCAGTTACGGTTCACAATCTGCTCGTGTACTGCAATAAAAATTCCTTTAATGTGATGGGGAAAAAATGACTTTTAGGGGCAATTACCCATCGTGAGAAGAGTTTCTGACAGTCGGCGACGGGCTCGATTAAAAGAACAATAAAAAGATGGCATGGTCTTGTATGCTGCTGAACAGTGCCTTCCTGATTACAGGGTGTTCACATCCATGACTCATGTGGTCCATATTTGGCTACTCACTATAGTCGTATACAGCTTTACCTTACCGGAGCTATGTCTGCATCACCAACACACACAAACACACACACACACGCACACACACACACACACACGTACACACACACACACACACACACACACACACGAAACTCCTTCAGACTCGACCCCCCCCCCCCCAAAGAAAGCTTTTCGTTTTTGAAAATATTATTGGTAACCTTGATTGGTCCCTTAGTAATTGGGAAGAATGTGGAAAAGAGTTTAGCAGACAGCGGCGGCGATATCATGTTTGTGTTCTTGTTGCTTTGTTTGTAATTCACAGAGAAGACTCGACATGCTATTTGGAGAAGGTAACAAGTTATCTTCTGCTGGTGTTCAATGTCAGCTGGAACGACTTTGCCTTAGCGAAACTCATCAACAGACTGTCCGCATGCAGGAGGATGATTACCATGCATTGTTTTTGTCGCCCCATGTTGCTGGTGACTTTTCTTTTTCCTTTTTTGATGATGCTAGATGTGGTGGCAGAATACATGCGCTATCTAGGCGTACTTTCCTATCTAGAGCCCTTTTCTTCTTTCTGCGCCATTTATCTAGTTGTATTCGCTGTCCATTGTGCGTGTACAGCAAACTAGATTACAGAGCGGATGTTGGAGTGCCTCTGCTGCGACTTTGATGCCCTTTGAAAAAAATCACCTCGCGCCGATTTCCGTAGCTCTGCTGCGTATCATTCGTTGTGTTGGTGCTGTTGCCGGCAAGGGGCTGGTATGAAGCTTACTTAGTCATGTTGCACTGCACGTCATGCGAGTTTGAAAGCCGTTTACGACGAAGGGAAGGATGGGAGAATGGTTTGTGTGGTGTTCTGTACCTCTCTGCATCTGTGCGGTGCCGGTGTAGCACTACACATGGTTAGCATAGTACCAAGAGTACATACCACTCCCCCCCCCCCCCCCCTCCCCAGAGTGCGCAACTTAGTTCACTTATCAGATCTGGGACGGCGAAATCCGTGTTGCCCCTCATACTAATGACATCATGAGTAGGGGAAGTGTGGACGTGGGGCACCGCGTCGATGGAATGAGGCAAGTCCGACCAAAAGAATGACTCTGTGGGAAGGCCTCTTTTACGGACAAGGCGAAGCACAATCATCACCATTAAATTTTATCAGTACAGTGAATACCAAAAATCACGGATTACGCCGTCCCACAACCCTATCTCAGTTGCTCACTCTGGGGGATAAGCTTTTATGGACTCTTGATATTGCTAAGAGTATTATAACCCTATAAAGAGTGTGCAACTCCTTATATGGGGTACGCCGACGGCGAAAACTCAAATCACGTGGTGCAGTGTCGCAGCTGTACGTTTCCAGCCGTGGAGAGAAGTGTAGTAATAAAAAAGCACTCTCAGACAGAAACTCGCTGTGGGTATGCAAATACTCAGCATGATCATGGCAGATATTTGGATTCCACGCATGCTATCCTTCGTTTGTACATAGTACGAACGTATCTGAGACACGTGATGTGAGTTTTCGGCGTCGGAGAGTCGACGGAGACCCCATTTGCAGAGTTGCACACTCTTGGGGGGTTACCGTAAAGTACCGTTGAATCGCCCCCGACGCCCTGTCGCTTCCCAGCTGGGTTTTCGGCAGGGGGCGGGAATTAGATCAAGGCTGTCAAGTGCAGTACGATTTACAACAACGTAGAAGTTCAGACTCGATGTGCTGGATTGTGCACATTTTCATCCTGGATTGGCAAGTATTGTGTACAGCAGTGCATGCGTCGGTTCAACATCGTATTTTCGTAGTATACGCTTAAGTAACGTTAGTTGCTTCTCAGGTAGAAAATCGACAGGGGGCGGATCAACGGTGCTTTACGATACATACTTTCAGTATTGCCCTTCAGGGTAAGGGCGGGGTAGCATTGTGGCTCCTCTGCTCCGCGGCACTTGAAATATTGCCTTCATGCAGCAGAGCAGCGCGGTTCCACTGACATTCGCCATTCACCAGTTCACGGTATCCGCGGTCGTGCTCAGCAAATTCAAATTTGAATTTTAAAATTCTCGCGTACGAAACAGTGCTAAGTACTGGAAACAGGTCGAGGCGCGACCGCGGCTTGCAGTTTTTGATCAAGAACCGTATCGAAAGCTTGCGGTGAGCCGCGGCCTTGCTGCTCCAGCTCGAGCAGTGGTCGCCATGGCAATGATGACGTTTCAAGCCGCGGACGATGAGCATCGGAGCAGTGGAACCCGGCCCTAACTTCGACCGACCGTCGGACCGTGCCGTTTTTGCGTGATTTCAAGACATGCATGGTTTGCATTTCGCTTTCTGACACAATGAGGGACTTGTGATGTCACTCTTGGAGTTGGAATTTTACCGTTTCGTTCTCCCGCTAAACAGAGCATTCGATCCTCTAAATGATACCAAAACCATCGTGCACTGTAGTTGGGCGATGAGAAGTTAAGGTTGGCTCAACTTTTGCGATGCGACAAGCCATGTGGCGTACGACTTTGAAACTTTCTGGAGCAAAATTGCACAAAAGTTCAAGAGTTGCTTGTAATTTTTTACAGGTTGTACCAAACCGCGCGAATACCATGGTGACGAGCTCGCCTGCATTGAGCTTCGCGCCAAATCAGCAAGGCGTCGTGGCGTTGCTGACTTCTTCTGTGAATGCACAAAGGCATACAATGAAAACCTTGGCAAATTAATTCCGTTGTGACTCAGAGTTTCATGGCTGAACCAATCATCAGACAACGATAATGGAATAGGAGGCAGCGCTGGTATATCTAAGTGGAGAGAGGTGTGATAATACGATAGCGAGAGGAGTAATCGCGTAAATGTATGCAGGGGCAGGCTATTTCAGAGGCAGATGCAGTTGGCACAGGTCTAGCACTAACAAGCACACGCTTAATCTCGCTCACACACCAGCACCCTAACACGCACACGCACAAACAACATATCCACACCCACACACATACTAAACACGCACACACATAGTAACACCCACACACATACACGCACACACTAACACACACACATACACCCACCCACAAAACCCTAACTTGCACACGGGCGCACGCACACACAGACACCCACCCACCCACAACACCCTAACTCGCACACGCACAAACACACGCACACACGCATATACACACCTATATATATGTAGGACTCAGTGAGCAGTCACGTCTCGATGACCGATCACGATCCCCGTGACCAATCATACAGTCACAAATCCCCGAAGAGCAGTCATAAAGTCACACACCAGTTTGAATCCCGATGACCAGTCACAAACTGCCGCGACTTTCTCTGTGAACGGTCACAGGATCCACGTCAAAATATTACGACTCAACTGTAGGCATTCACGCGTTCAGCATACTTTTTTCCTTCACAGAAGTGAGCAAGAAAGATTTCGATCAACTCTCGATCTCCTCGTAGTTTACTTGTAGCTCGAGTCTGGTGTGTGTGGGCTCCTCTCCAAAACGAAGGGTGGTCGAAAATCTTGCAGGCTTCAGATAGAATCTCTTTTGAGAGGACGTTCTGGCTAGTAGGTTGTGCTATTCATCATATTTGAAGAACAAACTTCGTCGAGTCGTTCAGAAAAGCTATTTCAGAATATTTTCAGTCATGTAATTTTTGCATGCCGATCTTGCTAGAGCAGAGACTGACTTCAACTGATCCAGCATGCAAGCAGCACTCGATTTGTGTTTTTGGAGAGGATGGGTGACAAGATTACGGAGTCAGAAGTGGACATCGTCGACGATGCAGAGACGAAAATATCATGAAGATGGAAATGAAAATATGTTCATTTCCAAGAAGGTACTGAGTACATCAAGCACCTTCGTGTGTGTAGCTCTGTCTTTCTTGTGGAAGACTCCACAGAAAAACAATGTCCAGCTTGTTGAAACTGAAACTGCCTCTCAGTTGAAGTCGTTCAGGAAGACATCTATTCAAGACATCATTGATCCATTCTCAAGGACCATCGTAAGAAATTAAATCAAGTCATGTTTATCGATAAGAATGGCGAACTAGACCAGAGAAGTGTGAGTGTCTTGTTTTGACTGCAGGAAACTGTATTTCAATATTGTGGCTCAACGTAGTGCTTACGCAGTTTACTGCTTCGAACGCATCTTCATTTCTACTCCCAAAATAACTCTGTAAAATTTATTGATGCAACATTATGCATCATGGTCTTTCTCGTTGTGCTGCTATAACGTGTATAAGTACATGCATACGAGTACTGTGTACCGTTTACTGTCTCCTTGTCAGTGTTTTTGGGCGATCCTCCACACCTTCATTTGTCTTCCAATTATTAATTTTATAGAAATATTCACTCACTTCAACTTCTTTTGATTGCTGGTGCGAATGTAGCCTGCGATGCCTGCTTGTTAGTGAGAGTGCACCAGACATGTATCGATATGTATGTCTGACGAGATGTTCTTGAACAAGCATGCTGCTTTGCTTAGATAAGGTTTAGAATTGGGTGCTCAATGGCCTGGAGGAATTAATCATGTTTGCGATCAGTATCACCAAGAGTACGGTTCTTCCGTCTACGCATCTCTTCTTGGCTTGTGGATTGGTTGAAAAGAGATAAATTAATAATGCAGAAGTACTTGTGTCCAAGTGTCGTCGTGAAAACAAGTTCTACCTCCGTAACTTTGTCAGCAAGGTCACGTGAATCTAGCTGGTAGTCCCGCTGCCTATTTGTGTGTGTGTGTGTGTGTGTGTGTGTGTGTGTGTGTGTATGTGGGTGTGAGTAAGTGTGCGTGCGCATGTGTGAGTGTGTGTGTGTGTGTGTGTGTGTGTGTGTGTGTGTGCATGCGTGAGAAAGAGAGAGTGTGTGTGTGTGTGTGTGTGTGTGTGTGAGAGAGAGAGAGAGAGAGAGAGAATGTGTGTATGAGATTTAGAGAATGTGTGTGTGTGTGTGTTTGTGTGTGCGTGCGTGGATGTGTGTGTGTGTGGATGTGTGTGTGTGTGTGTGGATGTGTGTGTGTGTCTCAAACTCTCTCTTCTACTCCCCCCCCCCCCTGTCTCAGGGGCGGCATGGCCAAGCATTTGGCAGCTGTACACCAGGCCAGGTGTGTGTGTGTGTGTGTGTGTGTGTGTGGATGTGTGTGTGTGTGTGTGTGTGTGTCTCAAACTCTCTCTCTCTCTCTTCTACTCTCCTCCTGTCTCGGGGGCGGCGTGGCTAAGCATTTGGCAGCTGTACACCAGGCCAGGTGTGTGTGTGTGTGTGATGTAGAGAATGAATGACATATGTGCGTGTGTGTGAGAGAGAGAGATTTAGAGAATGATTGTGTGTGTGTGTGTGCGCGCGTGTGAGTGTATGTGAGAAAAGGGAGAGAGTGTGGGTGTATGTGTGTGTAATGGTTTGGGCATGTGTGGTCCCCAGCTCTATTCTATGTCATTCACGCTGGAACTGCTGCTGCATAGCCCCAAGTCTGAAGACTTGGCAACTTCACGCCTGCACCTGACTCTTGCACTATGATACCCGTCGCCTATGATACCCCTCAGAATTTCCCACCTTGCTCCCTCTTATGTTCAGGCTGCCCGTTTAGGAGCCATCAGTAACCTGACGATCGTAGTAATACGTGAAACTCAGAGTTGTGACAAAGCCTCCAATCTCTCTTGTAATACAGAAATACCTATATTCTGCCTGTGACTACTCACAGAGAAAGAGTGGTCACAACTGTACATTCCGCATGTAACTGTTCGCATGGAATTATAGTGGTCACAACTGCATTCTGTGACCACTCATAGGGAATTATAGTTTCCACAACAAATC